ACTTTGGAACTTCAATTTCAAAAGAGTTTGAAAATCTTAAGAAAATTGAGAATTTAAGTCGGAAAAATGAATAGACTGAAATGATGTAGAAAGACTTAAGTCCAATAAAAAATGAAGGTTAATAAAACATAATTTTTATTCAAAGGAAAGATTTAATTGGGCTGAAGCCAGATGAGCTCCTGAAAAACCAACATGTTATTCCTGGTGCCAAAAAGAGAAGCCAGCAGAGACTCGGTGCGCCCCGGTTTCCAGACAGGTGGAAACACTGCCTGCCGTATGCAGCAGACTATATACCCGAGGGGTGACATTAAAAAGCAATGTGTATGTATGAGAGCGTCGGGAAAGAAGCAAAGGGTAAGATGTGAGCGAGACTAAACTCAAAGAGCGAGAGATAAAGAGAATAATTTCAAGGGGAGATTGAATCCAACAGAGACATGCAGATGGAGGAGGTGCAAACAGGCTTTACATGTTCAGAAAAAAAAAAAAATCATGATTTGAGTTTTTAAATATTTTTTCAAAAAAGTATTCACCCCATAGATTTCTCTTTTTTTGTTTTGTAAAAAAGGCAAAATTTCTCCTTTTTACAACAAAACTTTTCGAAAACTTCATCATATTCACGGTAAAGTTGAAATAGAAGCAAAGAGATTGAGAAAGAGAATAAATTAAGGAAAAGGTGCGACAGAAAAAAATAAAGGAAGACAGGAGGTGAAGGTGAGGAGGGTGACCAACACCCAGATGATGCTCAGGAGCTCTGCTGCAGCTGCAGATGACAGACAGGGGAGCAGTTGGCTTCTTACTGGGCAAACTGCACTGGCTGTTAGTTTGAGCTTCTAGATGATGAGCAGCGGCAGCCTTCATCAGAGCTGCAACACTTTCGCTTTAAAACAACTTCTGCTTTGTCGGCGCTATGCAGAAAATAACTTGCTTTGTAGAAAAAAAAAACACAAAAAAGGAAAAAAGGATCTTCTTCTTTTCCATAGTTGAATCATTTCTAATTAAAATCCCTTGTGGTTCCAGACAGGAGCTGGGCTGAGCTGGACCCTCAGCACAGCCCCCTCAGGAGCTCCTGCCTGTGAGAAAGCAGAACTCATGAGGTTCTACAAGGAACCGGATCTAATGTAGCAGCTACGTTTGTGTTTTGTTTATCTCAGAAGAAATTCTTCGTTATCACTAAATAACACGCAACAAAATCACAAACGCATCTTTATTTGCACTTTATTAAACAATCAACACATAAGTTAAAACAAGAAATATAATAAGTTGGCTTTAAATTTGTTCAGGGTTACAAAAAAACATTCAAGCCAACTAAAATTAGCAGGTTTTAAAGGTGCTTGTTTTCGTTTGTTCTACTTTTGTTAGTCTATGAAAGGCAGAGGAGCAAAAAGGTCTGTTTGACTGGAAAACTACTACATTCAGCCACTTATTCATTTATATTTATGCTTAAGAAGTTTATAAATATCAAACTTATCAATAAAATGTTAGTCTGAGATAAATAATCTGATTAAGCTGAATAATCGATGGCTATGTTTTGATAATCGAATCGTATTTCAGCGTAGGGGGCTGCTAAACTCAAAGGAAATTCTTTGGCCCTCTGACTAACATCTGGAATCCCTCCACAGGAGCTCTGCCCAGCATGTTTCAATACATGTTGGTTACATCAAAATTACACTGAAAAGAGGCGGATACTCTGACCTTTAATGAGCATAGTTGCAGAGAAAACTGCATTTTTATACAAATTTACCCCCTTATTTGCAGATATATGTGAGAAAAGCGCAGTGAAAACCCGAACCCCTCGCCCTTCAGGCTCCATCATCAACCCTGAGTGCTTGCTGGCAGCTGAAAACCAGCGCTACCGCTGACCAGGCTCAGAGGGATTCCCAAACAGCTGATCTGTCAAGCTGAACTAAACGATGGTCAAAGTGTTTGTTTTTTCTACCCAATAAAACACCTTGTTGCTGCGCCGTCTAACCACAGCTGCAGGTGGATCCGGGCAACGTCTCTGGCTCATTCTGATAGTTCTTATATTAAGGGAAGATATCAATGATCAACTCCAACATGGAGAAAAAAAAGACATAAAATAATTGTTCTAACATGGAATTAGGGCTGGGCATATGTTTCCCTCCCTGATTATTTTTTTTCACTTAAGTTTCACAATAAAAACTACAAAAACAGCTTTCTTAGAAAAATTTGCTTTGATTTTAATCTTCCCCTTCGGCAGGTGACCGTAATTTAAAGGGCAATGAAATCCAAGCAGTGAAACGTGCTTGTTAAATAATCCTGTTTCACAGTAATGAAAATATGAAACACTAAATGCTTGCAGTTGGTGGCATCACATAGTGAGCTAGTTTATCAGTTATCTGGAGACAGAAGAAGAGAAAGTGATGAACTGATTTCACTCTGAGCTACAGAAGCCAAAGAAATTGATTGAAAAAAAAAAAAAAAAAAAAAAAATCCAGATTTTCGACAAATTAAATTTCAGGAACACAAAAATGAAATACCAATCAATTACTCATTCAATTAATCAATCAGTCACATTATTTTGGTAAATTGTCCACATTAAACATGGGAAACAACAACAACAACAACAACAAAAAACAACAATAAACAAACCTCCAATTTACCAAGAAAGGAATAAGCAAAAGCAAACCTTATTCTCATCTACCCTGTTTTTATACCTTACAACCTACCAGGATATTGATGCCTATTTAAATCTACATAAGAGCGTAAGATGTTATCATTTCACATGTTAAAGCTCTTTTAAATTTCACCAAAAAACCACATAACTTCATCATTCAATTCATTCTAGTTTCAAACCAATAACTGAAACAAATCTAGACTTTACATCGATAAACTTGATTAATTACTTGGTTAATTAAAGCCCTACATGAAATACCAACAATTTCTCCATCAAATATTGTTTCTTTACATGCAGGTTTGCTATTAATTTAAATTGGGCAATAAAGTTTTTTTATATATATATTCCAACATTTTGTTAACATACAAAATGTTAATTTGCTAAAAGAATCCTTTCAGATCGATCAAACGTTACTAACAGATTAATCAATTAGTTAATTCATCAATAGGTGCAGCCCTCAAAAACATTTTTTTAATAGATATATTAATGTTATTATTTTTACTGGAACATTTTACTGAAGGTTTTAATAAACTGGGAATTTCTGATGAGTCTAGCCTGGCTTTAAAAAGAGTTTCAAGATAAATAAAAAGTCAGACCAACTTTGGTAAAAGGACTGTAATATAAAATATGAACTAGCAACCACTCAAAGAGACACAACCAGCAAGCTGTGGATTTTACCACCAAGCTGGATCCAGCTCTAATTAATGCAGACATTATGGTCAGAAACTGCGCTGGAAATCTTCAAAAGGCTCTATCAGCTCTCCATAAAGCGTTCCTCTTTGATAACTTCAGCCTAACTCCACAATGAAAGATTAACAGAATATTACAGAGAATAATTTAATGTGGGACGTTTTACATTTCCAGCCCCCCAAACAGAGCCCCGTTGATAACCATGAGGTTATACCCCAACCTAACATAACTGCAGTGGTTTGTAGAAAATAAATAAATACCATAATAAGAACGAACACACTGCACCAAACACCTACAGTGGGCGTTGAACCTTCTGTTTACCAAGGAAGCCTGAATCGATGCTGCACCCAGACGGCAGCAGCTGTGGTCTGACTTAAAACAGACAACTCTACATTCATAGCTTCATGGAGATCTTCACAGGTGAGGCAGTAAGAAGTGCTTCTAACAGCCAAAGAAGTTTCTATCCTGACGGATTGTTGCAAACAGCTTTAATGCGGTCCTTTTTATCTGAGCTGCAAACCCTAAGCTCTGCAGCAGTCAGTACTTTCTGCAAAAGTCCAGATGAACTGTTATTCATACCACAAACAGACTCTTCCTCACCTATAAGCAGCTGACAGGAAACTATTGACAGCGCTGCATGAAAAGGATATTGGCTCTGTTGTCAAGTGAAGAGGAAGGTTTCCTCCTCACTTGACAACAGTGAGTTATGGTAGGAATAAAAAAGGGAAAACTTAGGGGATGGGCTTATTTCAGAGAAAAACTTTTAAAGTATAAGCAAAGTAATAATAATGCCACATTTCTATAACTCTGATGAGCTTAATATGTTATTGAAACTGTCACTTCTTGAGTTTAATCGTGGGAGTACAGAAATTGAAGCTTAAATGAACCCTTTTCTCCTTTTGGCTCCTTCTTTAGACCAATTTTAGATAAAGTCTATATCTTAACTACATGTAAAGGATGTATTTAATGGATTGCCCTCAAATTTATATCAAGTACAGTTTGCAGTTATTTATTAATGTTATTAATTCGACATAATGACCTAATGTATGTATTTATTTTTCCACTGACATGTATGTAGAGGAATAAATGATGGTTTATTTGCTAATGGCAATGTTGGCAGTCCATAGACACACTTTCAGCTGCAAACATGCAGCCAGCAGGAACAACTTTCCGTTTCAAGTTCGTGGAGGAAAGTATGCAGCGTGTTGCCCTGATATGAAACACTTAAAAAACCCAAAACAACCCATCTGTTATAACATGCTCATGTATAAGGAATAAAAACCGGATATAGAGTTATATTTGGGGCTATTTTAGCTCCAATTCACCTGAGCCTATTATCGGACACATGTTGTTCATCTCTGACAGTTTCTTTATAGACATTTTGTAAATATAGTTTATTAATATTTAGTCATTTAGCAGTTACTTTTTTAAAATTGACAGGATTATAAAGTGAAACTGTGATTTAAAAGGAAGTTACAGATACGAAAACAGTTACTTATGTTTAGCATAAAGGTCGACTAATAACCCAGCAATATCAAACAATAATACTTTTTTTTTAAAATAAATGAACATTTTCAGTAGATTTTTTTGGTGTAAACATGAAAAGGCTACGTGTCATATTCCAAGTCGCATATGTTTCCAGTGTCCGATAATGGGTGTCGGGTGTTTATCTCACCTTGTAGGTCGAACATTTCCGTCCGGTTCTCCCCGGGGTTCGTCGGCCTCTCCTGCCGACCAGTTCTCGTCGTCCTCCACGATAACGTCCGCTCCAGACACCTGGCTGCCCGGGTTCTCCAAGCCGCGCACCTCCGCGGCTTCCTGTAGCCCCGAGGTCGCCGTCGACACTCGGCTTTCGGAGCGCGGCTCCAGACCGATGGCGGAGCCCTGAGTCTGGGTAAACCCGGGAACGATGAGCGCCTCCAGCAGCAGCAGGAGCACCAGGGAAATGCTCACGCTTCCAAAGTGAAGCCCTCTTTCCATTTGTAAGACTGGCACATTAGTAAAGTAGGAGATTTACATGCCACTAAGCAGGTAAATCGGAACATTAAAATAAACAAAGTGTAAAAAAACAAACTGAAACTATATTAATATATATATAAATCGCTGTCTGGAAATATGCTCCACTTGGATGTGCTCTTTAAGTAAACATAAACAGCCTCTGGGACACCATGTTATTCGCTTTATACTAGCCCGGACTTGCCTTAGTTACCTTAAATCCCGCCTCGTTTCTAAACTAGGATTGGATAATGAAATTCGCTTTAATCTTCTCATTTATTTCATCATTCTCCCATTGCACACGTTTCTGACAGTCACGCATCCTCGCACACTAAGCAGAATCTGATTGGAGCAGCGATATGTCAATCAAAGAGGCAGGCTCGTTGCGTACCAGCCCCCCAAACAGTGGCCGCTATTGGCTGGCTTCGCTGTCTGTCACGTAGACGTTGAGCTGACGCAAGGGTCGGGGGTTGGTCAGCTGTTTGCTGTTCTGGTGAATAGTGATGCCGAGATGCTATTGGTTGATTCAGACGTAAAGCCTGCGCTGGATTGGTTAACTCAGAAGTCAATCATACCGGTTGTCAAGACTGGTCAACATGAATTCTTCAACGTGGCTTCAAGCTAAAGCGGTACAGTTCCTGTTCCTGGTCACGAGTTCTTTCTCACTGTACATCATCAGAGCGCAGTAAAATAAAACCTGCACTTCTCCACCGTCCCTTAATCAATGTGTCAGGAATGCTCTCAGCTCTTCGAGTGACTTTGTGAAGTTACTGTATATCTAAAATTCTGACTACTTAACAAGAGTTCATATTTTTCTAGCGCCCCCTCCTGTTCACAGCGGGGTATTTATTCTAAAGCTGCTAGCCAGACTTTATTGGTCATGCATTGATTTTTAAAATCCCATTTGATGTAAATAATAATCCAGACAAATCTCATTTTCTAAAGTAAAAAAACAAAACAAAAAACTTTTCCGAAATTGATTTTAATAACCGGATTCATGTAATCTGGAAGGTTTTATTAACCCAAAGATGTAGAAAGTATTACATAATTATTTAGGCTGATACAAAAACAAATGTTAAAAAAAGGCAATAAATGCCTCAGCAATTTAAATGGTTTTATCATTGTTTATTTCAAACCCAGGAAAAAAAGAAAAAATAATCAGCAAATCTGCATAAAAGAAAAAAAAACACTCCTGGAACACAATTTTTTCTTTTTTACAACTTTTATTTTCTTCAGTATTGGAGCACATGCTATGTTCTGCAATATGCAACTCTAATAAAACAAACATGAGTAATGATTTGGTCCTTTATGGGTTCAATACTGTAACTACATAAAAAAATAACAGACCTATTCACAGTAAAATGGCTAGAAAGGAAAATATGCTGGTGCAAAGACAGTCATGCACAGTGTGACCCATTCTGTTTTTAGAAGATGCCTTTTCAGTTCAGAAAGTTTATTTTTATTATTATAACAAAGGTGCAACTTTCAATAGAGTAAATATGGTGGCGTGTTATCATTAGCCACTGCCATCACTGGGCTTTGTTTTAGAAATGAGCTTATGGCACAAGATTTCCTGCATTCAGACACCTTCTGTTTGCAGAAAATTGTGTGTATGTATATATATATATATATATATATATAATTTATATATGACAGGCACAAAAATGCACATATTCCATTACAGAATGATATTCTGGTTAGAGGTTTGCATGCATCCTGCAGTCTACTAGAAGAATTTGTAAAAACGAGGAACAAACAATCACCCTTTAAATTCTTGCACATTGACAAACTTAAATGTTATGCTCAGATTTATATTCTGATCTAACCAGTGTTCGATGAAAAATCATCACTATCCTGAAGTTTTTATTTAGTTGCATTAGTTCAGGATCTTAGACTCTTCTTAAAATCTGAACAGCAGTTCTTTTTGTACTTATAATTAGTGTTACACACTAAACATGCATTTATGGGTTTCTGATTTAATATTTCAAAAGGCACATCTTTATTTATTCTGTAAATTTCTGCAGCTATTCTGTCAATAACTACATCTGATCTGCAGGTGTAGGATTTTCCTCATCAGGCACTTAGAAAATAAAAAGATCAGAGGCACCACCCATCTGAATGTACCAAGTTTGGAAACTTCTTTTGCAAGGAAAGCAGTCTGCCTTTAGCCTTTTCCAGAGTCAGGGGTTGGGTTGTGATCCTGGCACTTGTGGCTGAAATTTTATCGGTGAAAGGAGGATCGAGCGAGGGGACTCATCAGTTGACGGGAGCCTTCCGAACTTTCACGCTGCCATCTTCCATCCCAAAGTACGCTTGCTGAGCCATGTTGACAAAGAGCCCTGTCTCCACCACACCTATATACACACACAGAGCATCTTATGCCTTCAAAAACATATTCTACATTTATTCTGTGTTTGAAGCATTTCTTTTTTTTCTTTCAGAATGGTGATTCACAAATTCGTGAAGCTATCTCCTCACCAGGAATCATCTTGATTGCAGTGTTGACCTCCTTCCAGTTATGGGTATGCTCAAACTTCCAGTCCAAAATAAAGTTGCTGTTATCAGTGACGACAGGACCCTACAGCCACAAAGACACCACTCTGTTGGTTCTGGAGGCTTTCAGTAGGAGGGGTGAGGTTACAAATGAGGTAACTAGACATCTAGGTAAAGGAAACAGTTCAGTCTGCTGCAGTTTATAAAGAGAATCTACTCTTAAGAGTCGTTACGTGGAACTAAATCGCCTTCCTGAGGTCGCTGGGTGTGTCAGCGCTCAGCCACAGCGGTGCCACAAGAAGCACAGCTGTCCCAGAACAGAGCAGCTGAAACGCCACGCTTTAATATGTTCAAATGTTCAAAGGTAAAGTAGGGCTGAACCTACCGTTGCTTTAATAATCAATTGATTTCTTTTTATGATTAATAATCAAACAGCAAAAGTTTAATTAAAGAGGATTTCTAACTCATTTAAATCAAGTGAAGCTAACAACAAACACCTGAGTAGTTCTGGATAGATTATACTAATTTACAGTGTTTAGAACATTAGTAAATTACTGCTCTGAATAAGTCGCTCCTTCAGCTAATAGTATGTGTCAGAGTCTGTATACTCTAACATTTAACCAAGTACTAAATTAGTTGACAGTTATTTTAATAATCTATAAATCCAATTAAATGTTTCAGCCCTAAAGCAAACCCTTCGGTTTATAAGCAGGACAACATTTAGATCCAAATGATCCAACAAAAAAAAAACAGAAATATTACAAACAGAAAAACCAACAAGTTGATTTAAAACAGAAGGAACAGGAAGGATGATAACTGCTGCCTGAGTTTTCTGTTTGCTTCCCAAATCAGTTTCTATGGTTCCATGGACATTTGGAGAAAATCAGTCTCCTGGTTATGTTGAACTATTTTTGTTATTCTATCAAATCATAAAAAAGGTACAGGAGCTGGCTTCTGCACCAACATTGCAGAAAAGTTTTGTTTTAAGTAAAAGCATTTTATCACCATCCCCAGACGTAAGCGCTGCGCTCGGTTCCTGATATAAAGTTATTGCATAACATCACATCATTCCTGTGCTGGTATTGAATATAACAGGGGACATGTTTACCTTATTTAGTTGCTGGAATGATTGTTTAATATTTAGTAAATCACCAGCCTCCCAGACCCTTTGCTGTGGACCTGCTGTTACCCCTGGCAACCCCATAGCATTTCTTGTCAAGGTCTTGCTGTCGGCATTTTACAATAAAAGCACAGGTGAAACTTAACATCACGGACTAATGCTAAATTGTTCTCTATTACCAGCTTTTTAATCATGTTGGTTCATCCAGACGCAGCTTTAATCGTTTGGATTCGGTGGGACTTCCTTGTAAATCTACCCGAGCAGTAAGCAGTGATACTGGGCAGAAGGCAGTGACAGACCAGGCTCTGTGCTGGCTCTAAGCGATCACGATTAACAATCCCGCTAGGAATAAATTAAAACGGCTTTTTTTTTTTTAAACCTCAAGAGAATTGCTTATTTCTACCTTTTTAACATTATTTTCCCTGTTTTTCTATTTTCTCTCTCTTCTGTTTTAAGTGAAAAAAGCCTCACCTCCATTCTGTCCCTGATTGGCTGCTGTGCCGCAATTTCATAGAAAAGTTTAGCTCGTTTCATCTTCAGCGATCACCGCTCCTCTCTCTCTGCGGTGCTTCTGTTTGACAACACCTCAGCTCTATCAAGTAGCGCGAGGTGAGGACGGAGTCGTGAACACTCTCATTGTGTAGGATTCACTGCTGGCTGCTTTACGGCCCTTCCCCGTGCGGTTTGTAAAAAGACACCATCACGAAGTGATCATGTACAACTTTGTAACTCCTGCCTCAGGTTGTTATAGTAAATGTACACAGAATGGATCCATTTACTAAGAAATTGACCAAAATATATCAGTAAGACGCTGTGATATTTCTGAAAAACCCTGTATGCAACCAAAGTAAGCTACTAGCTACGTTTATATGTCCAAAACTTCTCAGATCCGATCAGAAACTTGGTTGGTTGGAAGTTAAAAATCCCTTTTTAAATGGACTCTAGATAAAATGATCCGATCATGATGTGTGTACATGTGTGTTTCACCCTTTTGGTTTTTCATGGTGATTTTAGTAAAGCGTTGCCTCATGCTGAAGCTGCTTTGCTACAGGGGTACAGGACAGGATGGCAGGATCATCCGTTGATTATATTTAGAGCCACCTCCTCCACCAAGGAGGTGGAAGAGGTTATCTTTCAGAAATGTATTTCTGATCAGACCGAATCAGATTCAAATCTTCAGTCTGACATGTTTATATTAAAAAAATTTTTATCTGATCGGGCCTTTAATCAGATTATTTGTGTCCATCACACATCATCGATCGATGTATCGACACACAGAATGCAGTACACGAGTAAGGGGGGGTTTAGTTTCATTAATAAAGACCCCTAGAAATCTGGAAAGAAAAAACAAAAAGAACAGACAACGTAAATCTAGAAATCAGCTATAAAGTCAAAGATGGTTCGTACTCACTGCTTTACTGACTGCCATCCTTAAACTAACTTCGCCTCCAAAGTGTTTGGCTATCGTCATGGAGACGGGGACATACGCCATGGGAATAACCTCGATGGGAACGCCTTTCTTCCACTGCTGACCGAGAGCATCAGAGTCCTTTCTGAGAGACAAACAATCTTTTCTGTAAGTCAAAGTAATTTCTTTATAAAACTAGCAAATTCAAACTCCTGTTGACAGCTAATGCAGACCTGTAGTCAGCGATGACCACGAAAAATTTAGAGCAGCCGGCGACAATCTTCTCCTGGGTAAGACAGCCGCTACAGAACAGAGAGAATGAGTTAGGATCACCAGCTGGCTTAAACCGAGCCGTCTGCGTTAAAACCTACTCACCCACCACCTTTTATCAGCGTCAGCTCTGAGTCTACTTCATCTGCGCCGTCAATCGCCACGTCCAGCTGAGCGGTGTGGACATAAAGCACAGATCAGGCGTACGCATGGAAACAACCAGCTGTTATGTCTATGGAGTAATTAAGAGCAGACAGGGTCTGTAACCGCGACCCGTTCTCCGAGCACACTCATCATACCTCAGGGTGTCTCTCCAGATCTGACAGCATGAGGCCGTGCTTCAAAATCAGCTGTCGGGCCTGCGAGGGGAGAGAGTGCAGAGATGGAGAAATGGGCGGAACACCAGAGAAAATACATGCAGTTACAGGTGAAAAAGATACCGTTAATTGAAACAAGAAACAACATTTTCTCACTCTTAAAATCATTACAGGAAGCAGAAGAAAAGAGTAGAGATGCTAATCAGGTCCCATTTAGCAGAGGGATACAGCTGGTTTATATGTTGGAGTTAAAATGTTATTGAACCATGATGGACAGTAAAACAGGCTCAGAGGCTGAAACAAGTTCTGACCTGGATAACTGGTTCCTATAGAACCTAAAACAGGTCTGCTCATGTTCCACCATGATGCTTTAACAGACCATCTGGGCCAGTTTACCTCAGAGTTCTGCTTTCTGCCAAACATTCACTTAAGCTAATCGATTAATCAGCCCATCGTTTGTTTCTAAGTAAAAGCAAAATTATTTCAGGTGAAAGTAAAAAGAGACCTTTAGGAGTTCTGGTTAGAGTTTATTAATGAACAAAATTTCACCTTAGTCGCAATTTTCTTTTCTTTTTTTTAAACATTTTTGGCATAATTATGTCTTTGAAAGGGTCGTTATTTCAGCCAATGGTGTGTTTTAGTCTCTTCACTCCAGTTACTGATTAATTGATGACTCAATTAGATAATTCAATAATCAACCTGAATTGTGTTGAGCCTTTATTCACGAACCAAAGCAAATCAATGGATTCATGTGTTCTAGTGACTGATGGCCACCGATGACTTAAAGCCTGAGCGTTGAAACTGCTTCTAAAAACGTCTGAAAGAACAGTTAACTCTCAGTAACCAAACCGGTTCCAGTCTGACAGCATGATGGGATGCCATCTTAGCTATGAAGCCGGTTGGGAAATGTCTTCACTGCTTAACGTTGGAACTCAGCCACAGAGTGGTAGAGCAGGGTCATAACCCAGAGGGGGGGGGTCAGTGGATGATGAGGCTCAGAGTCAACAGGTGAAAGAAACCTGTTGAATAAACAGCTGACTTTTAAACTTTAGTGGACATTAAGACCATCTCTAGATCAGTTCATAGAGCTTCATGGACTGTTTCTTTCTATCACAGAAACCAATACAAGGTGTCTGATTGGTGTAAACTGAACCTTAGAGCCTCTGCCTGTTCACAGGAGTCAATCTGCCCCTCTGTCTGAGATCTAAGAGAAGTCAGTGTTTGTAAGCTAGCATAGAAACAAAACCAACATGACTGATGGATCATGTCTAAGGTTTGATGCAGAGGCAGTAAGCCGTTCATCAGGCTCCTCCCCCTTAGCTCCAGAGAAATGAACTCCTCATGCTTTATAACACAGCGTCTGAGGAGAGGTCCATGGAGACGTATAGTGACCCTGACGGACCTGCGTTTGCAACATGGCTGCACTCCCCAAACCCACCACTAGGATGCATTAATTCACTACAAACCAGTGCTGTCAGTCTACACTAGCTATCTATAATAAGCTCTGATCTGTGTTCAAAATTAAAACCAAGTCTCACCTGTCAGGATTTTATCGTTCTGTTGCACTGACCGCTGCAATGAGCATTTAGAAAAGCAGATTTTGCCCAATAATAGTTTTTGTCAAACTAGCACATCAGATGAGTGGAAATATCTCTCCTTTAAAAAAATAAAAGCAAAATTTTGTTATATGAAAGCCTCATGAGAGATATGAAAAAAGGCCTGATATGGATAATAATCAATTCGATTCAACAGTATGAAGGCAGAAAACCTAACAGATTCAAAATCCTGGGCTTAAATCTTTCTCTGTAATTTTGTAAGTAGATCAACTTTACAGAAACAAGAAATCAGCAACAGGAGTCTGATTGATCTAGCTCTAGTTTATCCAGCACTTTAGGTTGAAAGCTAGTTTTTTTTTTTTTTTTAACATTGTCCTGTCTGGCGATGTTGCAATAAGAATAATTGTCATGATGCCAAAAAAAGAGCCCAACAGATGCTTTGCTTTCATAAGTGGAGCAGTACGGCTATCGCCATAGTGCTCCGCTTGATTTATGCATATAAATAGCTTTATTAGAATTCATGCAGGGAGTTTTACAGATTATATGGACACTGCAATGTAAGTAGAACAGGAAAGGAAAAGGAGAAAAGATGAAAGAAAGAGAAGATAAAAGGAAGATAACGATAAAACATCTTCAGGTTGAACGCTAGAGTTAAAGAGAAATAAGGACTCAACCACAAAAGGACAATCACAAAGAAGCAACATTACTCTTTGACCTAGTAATAGTGGGGAAGACTTACCAACAATAAGAGCAGAGAGACCTGAGTGATTTAACTCACCTGGAAGGAGGTGGGCACACACACGATGTTCAGTTTTTCCTGGCGAACTCTCTCGGCTGTATCAAATAATGCACACAAAAAAAGGAAAAGATATAACTAAAGAGACTAAGAAATAAAAAAAGTAACTAAGCTGCTCCTCTTCCCTATTAATCAACCACTCGCTGTAGTAAACAAGAAGGAATGTGCCAAACAGACAGTTTCTAATCTGAAGTAATCATCACTATCAGTTCTATGCAGTCTACTAGGAATGATGATGTTAGAGTCACTTCTACAGTGAAACCAAAGCAGATGGAGCCGTGTGGCTCCTGCCTTCCTGTCAAACTATCATCCAGATACAACTTTAAACGTTAATTCACCCTGATAGACACAACATCAGGCAGTTATTAAAGCCTTAAAGCATTTTACTCACCTAACCTGTCCACAGCGTACACGACGGTTGACCCGCTGCCCACTCCAACCACATGATTGTTCTGGAAACAAGAGAACCAATTTAAACATGCCACATGTTGAACAATTAATGTCTACATGCATGTTAAATTATCTTTGTATTGTATAATTGTACTCATGCTGCCTTATAAAAATGTTCATGCACCTTTATTATTTCTGGATTTTGTCCCAAAAACCAGCCTACAAATAAAATCTGAAGTGTGACACACATTGGTGTTCATCCATCTAAATAAAAAACCTCTAAAAGAATCAAATAAAACGGATTTAGAAGTTCCTAAAGGCTTCACATAGCCCGCCTGTAAATAATCTATTCTCGGGGTTAATGTGAAGAACTTTACAGAGCAAACATCTGCATCGTGAACATGGAGGGAATCAAGTTCTATTATTGTTACAAGCAAAGAAGACCTTCTGTAAACAGCAATTCGAAAAGAAAAAAAATCCACATTATGTTGAACTTAAAAAAAAAAATATTCAATGCACACATGAAATTATTGTGTAAATGCTTTGTTTTCCAGACTTAGTTTTCCAATTTTTTTTTCCAACTTTATATTTCATCCTTTATCTTTTCAGAAATGTAATGTTTTCACCTTTTTTTTTTTTACGTTTCAGTTTTTCCAACTTATTTTTTTTTCTTCAAAAAAAAAAAAAAATAAATAAATAATAATAATAATTAACAGATTTTATACTGTCAGTTTTCTTTCAATTTGAGTTTTACAAACCGCTTTTTTCTCCAAATGTGTTTTATGGATCACATCATCTTCACTCCTAGAGGAGGATTTTCTCTCGACTGAGGAGCAAAGACACATTTCTACTGGTCTGAATGGATGTTTGCAACAACACCGTGTGTCAGAGTGAGCGTTTGTATTTGGCTTTAAGTGAAGGGAATGCAACTGAATATTTGAAAAGAATGCAATTAGTTAAACTCAATCTGGAAACAGATGTTTGAAAAAAAAAAAAAACTCAATATAAATTCTGCAAAAAAGTTTTTTCATTAAATAAAAAAACATATCTTTGAAGTATATAATTAAAAAAAGGAAAGTTAAAAGTTACTCTCATTTTTTTTTGCTTGCAACAAAATGGAGCAAATTTCCCTTCAGAGATGAAGACCAATAAACACAGCAGAGATGTCAGGATAATCTGTGAAAATGCTCCTTACACCTCAGATTATTGTTCAGTCCATCACATGGAAAACATGGCTGATGCAGACCAAGACATTTCCATCCTCCTAACCAGTCAGAATTACAAGAGTTTGTGGTTGAAGACCAACTTCATTACTGAACATCTTACCACACATCCACTTGTGAAACATGGTGGTGCAAACATGTTTTCAGAGAGCTTCATCCAAAAGGTGTGGATGCTTTTGCAGCAGCAGAAAAAATTCTATTTTTAATTTATAGTTGCATGCTGGACCAAATGCACAACAGCAAGCAATTATGGGTAGAGTAAAGGAATAAGAGCAGCTCTAAATTCACACATTTTTTACTAAAGTAGAATTGGAAAATAATCATCCAAGAAATTGCTCAAGAGTAAAACAGTTTTTTTTGCAAAATAGATACTGAAGAACTGAGTGGTTAACAACTCCAAACATCTGGTGGAAAGTTAATTATTTTATCAGAGTTATGAGCTAATTATTGTATTTCAAAATATAAAAAGGATTCCAATATACAACTAAATAGGAGTAATAAATATCATGTTTCTGCAAAAGAAACTTTCTCTACATTTTTGTAAACCAATATTTACAGAAAGTAATGCATAAATGTCCCGAAAGGATAAAAAAAACTTTAGCTTCATTAAATGCTGTTTACTGGATTTTCAACTGAAAGCTTAGGTTACTCAAAATTAGTCATATTCTCACTAGTATATTACTTCAGAAAAAGTATGGAAATACTCATAAAAGTAAATTTATTTCAAAAATTCAGCCAAGTTAATGTAGTTACTCCCCAACCTCATTGAAACCATTACTGTCACCCAACTCCTTAAAGCCCGTCCTGCTGTATATTTGACCCCAAAACAGAACCAAGGTAGCAAACTATCAGTTGCTTTAAAATAATACAGGTTAGCTAATGATGAAAAGAGCAGCATGTATGTGTGAATGGGGCTAACTTTGCTAGCATGCTGCAGGAGCTAACAGAGATGCTAACATGTTAACCGGTTAGCTAACGCACACACTGCTGCTAACTGTACCTGAACGTTGTTATCCACTGCAGAGTAGGCTGCTAGTTTCTTCGCCTCTTCTGCCATGTTGTCGGCAGCAGACTGACTGGAACTGAACACACGTGGGCGACAACTGCTGAAGGAAGAAGGGAAGGAGGGGAAACCAGAGAGGAGCTTACGGAGATACACCCACCGCTGGGGTGTCATGACCCGCCCAACAGCAAACACAGGCGGATGATTCCCCGCTGTTTCAGGCAGTCACGAGGAATAATAGATAATCTTAAATTACAAGTCACACATGATGGGTTCTGTTCAGTTAGTTTATGATTGTTAGTTGACATGTGCGCAAGCGCGGTGCAACAGCGACACCTTGTGGACATGACATAGAACAGCTTGGCTGTGACACCATCCTGGAGACAAAGCTTCTTTTTTTTCTTCCCTTGTTCTAGTCTCTGTTTTTTTATTGGAGTTAATAGGAGTTGTGGTCTTATCTGTTTATTGTAATGTTCATTATTGACGTATTGTTGAGATTGTCATTGATTTTCTTTATTTTCAATAATAAAAAAAGTCTGTGCTGCTTCTTCTTCTTCTTGTTTAGATTTTTATGGCGGTTGGCAAAAACGTTAGGTGAGCATTACCGCCACCAACTGGTAAGGAGTGAGGACCACATAGCACAAAAAAAAACAAAAAAAAAACATATGCTGTTATACAATTTAATGTTTCAAAAACTCAAATATAACCTGATGTCCTCTGCTTCCTGATTCCCTTTGCAGTAAATCAACAATGTCAAGTTCCATTTTCATAATATTTATATTATAATTATTATATGAAACTTAGTAATTACTAAGTTTCCTAATTAACTTGTTTCTCTGAATCAAATATCTCCTACAAATCAAAGTAACATGTTCAACTGTCTCATCTTGCCCACAGTCACATTTCCCTGTCTGATGTTTCCCTATTAAAAATAATGACCTATTCAATGCTGTGTGCCCCTTTTATAATATTAGGGAGTCAGTTTAAAGATATGGTTTAAATAACTTGAGGTTTATGTTGGGAATACACTAACTATAACGAGGGTTTGGGTAAAATGTCAGGATTAGGCATAAATGAATTAAAGTCTTAATATAGATAGAAAAACAAAAGTTTGTGTGCGTTGCATGGTGGTGGTGGGCTAAAACTAAGATAAACAACCACAGAAAACCATTTTGTAAAATGTAAAAAAATATAACAGAGCATCCATTAGCATTGGTGGTTCTAGGGCATATTTACCAAGGGGGCAGGATTGGGCCAGCATGTTTTCTGGGGCCACAGAAAAGCCAGGAACAAAAAACAGGGCAATAGTTTATCTTTTAGAATATAATAAGAGAGCCGAAGAACCAAAGAGCCACTCGTGTTTCTGCACAGAATGAAGTGAGCATTCCACATCAATGAGTTGAAGTAAAATTTTATTTTTTTCCAATTGAAATTTTGTATTTTTAGTTTGAAAATGTTACTTTTATATATCTAAAATAAAAATAATCCCTTACCATGGAAAAAAAACAACAATGGATTCCATTCCTCAACAAACTCAGAGGCAGAGGTCATTCTATGTACTGAGGGAACTTTGTTCTTCAAGTATGTATTATAATCTATTTAATGTGCAGTTTTGATGAGTTTTGAACCCTGCTGTTTTCTGTAAGCAGCTCCTCAGATCCTCATGGTAAATTGCACTTACCCAAAAGTCAGATCCGGGGTACAAACTGCAGTTAGGCTGACATTTTACTTTAAATCTGTGAATTCTTTTAAAGACGTTGTTTGTCTTTTGGTTCTTAACAGTCTTTATTTTCACATGAGGTGAAAAACATTTATTTTATGCTGTAAATGCAATATCTTGGTTAATAGACACATAGGAAATAACATTTATGATGTACAGCACCTCAAAGATTTGTATCTACAGTGGGGCTGGGAATGATTACTAGCTAATTATATGGAGAAACTTCTCTAAGTGGTGTCAGTTTTACTGTAAAAAATATATGAGGTACTGCATTGTTTTATGCTGTCCCTTTGATTTCAAATAAATTCAGAAATAATTTATTGATTTCAGAGGGAAATTAAATTTTTTAAGTTAGCACTTTTTATTTGGGATGAGTGGACAATAAATGGAAAGCAGTTGTTGGTTTTTAAGCAAGATTATAACCCAGAACAGACATTTTTATTCTCATATGATTAACTGAAAGGAAGAGTGCAGAATAAGGGAGTGGGGCAAAGGATGGTGGAAAAAAAAATGGAGGTTTAAAAGTATATCTGGGACCAGGTTGAGGGGGCAGCATCTCCAGAAGTGCCCCTCTACCTGCAGATGAAGCTCATTTCAGCCGCTTGTATCCAGGACCTCGTTTGTTTGGTCATGATCCAGATTACATGATCATAGGTGAGGGTAGGGAACATAGACCGTTAAATGGAAAAAAACAAACCCTAATCTTGAGGGAGGAACTCTCCTCTAACCTAGAGAGGACGGGCTGCCCTTTTGCAGGTGTTTGGATGAGATTAATTTTTTTAATTTTGTACATGGATACCATGGGTGGTGAATGACAGGTTTGCTATTGGAAAAAGGCCATATAGTCTTAGTAATGAACTACAAAGCTTGGCAAGACTAAAGGGAGAGAAAGATCTTTTTGAAATACAACTAAATTAATATTTAAGTCAAAAGACCTTTAAAAAAATGGTTCAATTTGCATGTTTTCTAAGCCATAACAAGGCTTTGTTGGGCTATGCTTTAAAGTCTGGAACTCAGCGCTAATCCAGACATTTTGAATGGAAAAAACTTCCTGGATGGGAAGCGAAATGTCTTCAAACTTGGAAAACAAAGTCCAGTGGATTGTTTTTTACATAAAAAAAAAAGAATAAAGAAAAAATATCCTTAAAATATTGACAAGAGGGTGGAGAAGGAAATACATTAATAACTGTTATAAAGCCTTTCTGCTTCTACAATTGCTTTTAGACAGGAGTTGGTGAAATCAAGTAAAAATAAAAAAAAACATTTTTTTCAACTGCATATTTGCACCATATATATATTTGTCTTGCAATGCTCTGAACTCCCATATCAATGCGTTTTGCACCATGTTTTTTTTCTCCCACATCGTTTGCATTTGATCACTGCTGCACTTTATGAAATGGAAAGGTTCATTTCACTGCTAAGCTGCTGCTCATTTACTGTCTGAAAGCTATACAAAACAAAATGTTGTTTTGTATACACAGAGTGTATACAAAACGACAATAAAAGTTGTATAAGTCTAAGTCTAAATTGGTTTACAAATCATTTTTACACCTGACCACTAACATTCAAAAGTTTGGAGACACCTCAGTCATTCCGAGGCTTGTTTTCATCACATTCTCACATTGTGCATATGCAGTGAAGACTTAAAAACTGTGAAATAAAAGTATATAAAATATGTGCAAAATCTGAAATTGTTGAAGCAACTCAAAACATGTTTTAGATCCTTAAGAAAAAAATAAAAAGAAACTTAAATAGATCAACTATTTAATGATATGGTGTAAAGAATATACCATTACAAAAATGATTGGATAAACAAATCATTTATAAAAAAGTGGTTTTAAAACAGTGAAGACATCAATGCAAATATTAACATCACTACTACTTTTATTTGGCAAACAGCTTGAGTTTCTCTTTTTCGGTATACAGTTATATATATATACTATAGTAAACCAACACATTCTGTTTGATTATCATTTTTTTCTCAGTTTTTACATATTACAGCTTACAAATATAGCTGATCTTTTTGACAAAATTACAGATTCTGTTTGACACCTAAATTAGTATGCTATATAAAAAACCACACACCATACATTCATGATTAGAAAAGGTAGGTTATACGAAATCAGGAAAAGAATGAACAGAATAGAACGAAACAGAAGACCACAGTTACGCCATTTCCATCAGGAGGACAGGGGCGGTTCAGGGTTTCACAAGGAGAGTTTCTTTCACTCCAAATCTAGTAACAAGTCCTCTGAGAGAAGTTTGCTGCTATTCCAAAAATCACCAGAACAGTGAGGATATCAAGGAACAACAACAATACTGCCACGTTAGAAGAAGAATCGTTTGATCTCTGGTCTCAGTCCAAGTTTAGAAACTAATATATTGCAATGGATTATAATGTATGTTTGATAAAAACTGAACTATGCAAACTGAACATATACTTTATCGCCCACAATCTTTCTTCTTTCATCAGCACAGTCTTAAGGCTTAGTCCGAGGATTATGCAAATGCATCCCAGATTTGCTTTCACGCCTTGCAATCTCAGCATGAGACATCTGCTTCAATTGGACATCTTTCTTGCATTTGTAGGACAAAGTTGAACAGAACTGCATGAGGGAGCTGCCATTGAAATACCGCAACCAAACTGTAATAAAACCCGAAGAAACGCAGCTGCTTCTTTTGACGGGCAAACTTTTTTTTGCTCCTTGATGTGTGAAATCAGCGAATCGGGACTGAAAAGGTGCTGCTTTAAAAATACAGCTGGGCTGTCATTGCTTCAGAGTCGGGCCCACCTGTCTTGGGAATCCTAAATTTCCCAACGGTGAACTTGTTTTTTTTTTTTTGTGTGTTTTTTTTTTTGTTTTAATAGAAAGTATTGCTGAATATCAAGCATTGCATTTATATTCATGTGACTTTTACTGTTCGACTTGCTACTATTTTCTCTTGAATACAACATTTCGATTTAAAAAACCCAGATGAGACATGCTTTAAGCAAACCAGTGCTTAGGTATATATATATATATTTTTTTTATTTATCATTTGAACTGTAGATAAGATATAGCTCTCTGTATTCCTGCATTAATATACGAGAACATTTGCAAGCACTGATCTACTAAAAAACAAAAAATGAAAACAAGTTGTTCCAAAATACCCTATTTGTACTTGAAAACAAAAAAAGAAAGAGATAGGTTAGCTTAGTCCAGATCTTTTGTTGCTGTTTTGTTGTATCTTCCGACCTTTAACCTTATGTCTATCCAAGCTTTGAAGCTGAGCTATATGTCAGCTGATAACATGAAGCTGGACGGGACTTTGATATGTAAACACTGTGGCAGAGCTGTATGAAACAGGCAGTGGAATGGACAGAAGAAACGGAAAACACACTGTTCTCAGATCAGGGTAAAGAGACAAAAACTTTCATTTCCCAAAAAAGATAAACTATCATTACGACAAATAAATATTCTATTTTTATTAAAATTGACCTATAATATTTTGTATATTGCCATCATATATATATATATATATATATATATATATATATATATATATATATATATATATATATATATATATATATATTTTTAGATAAAGACATTACTATATGTTTTTGGCTTGTGCTGTCATTCTAAGTGATTAGAAATAATATATACCCGTGGAATGTTTTTATTTGCTCNATATATATATATATATATATATATATATATATATATATATATATATACACATATACATATATATATATATGTTTTTAGATAAAGACATTACTATATGTTTTTGGCTTGTGCTGTCATTCTAAGTGATTAGAAATAATATATACCCGTGGAATGTTTTTATTTGCTCATCTAAAGATGGAATCCACCTTTAAAAATACATCTTCTAAAGAGCTGGCAGAAAAGTACTGTGTTAATGACACAATACAAACTCTCTAATCTCCTCCTTATACAATATGGACACTTGTTGGAATGACATGGAAACGAAACATGTGCACAAGTGTCATTCACAGCAAACGGCTAAAAAAGGTGCAGAAATCTAAATGCTGGAACGCTGCACAATGGCGAGGAAAAAAAAGCAAACTTTACAGTGGCCATAATGCAGTGCTCTAAACTGACCCGTTCAAAGTTTTTAGTTACTTCTCAACACAGTGTAAGTGGGTAAAAGTTACCCATATCTAGGTGCATCTCAACATATTAGAATGTAATCAAAAAGTTAAAAATTTAATTCAATGATATATCTATCTGTGGTCTCTCTTTTTATACTCAATTTTCCTGAGCTCTTAAATCAGCAAACCTCCCCATTATTATAGAGGTTGAATTAGAATATGTCTCTATTGAAAATATACATTATAATTCGTTTATGTGAAATTGTTTAAAAATAAAAATTAAATATAAGTTTTTATTAGTTTTAAGCCATAACAACAAACATTGTTATGAGTTTATATATAATATGTTTAACAGATCTAATAAAATAAATCAACTTTTTTCATATTTAATGCATTGAGATGCACCCATAACTGTGTAAAAACAATATAAGTGCAAACGTGTCAAAAGATAGATCAGGTTTATAATTACATTGTGCCATTACCCCTTTCTTGGTACAACATAGTGTACCCTTGCAGCATTTTGTATTATTAAATCACACAGTATCGGAAATACTTGGAGCACCTGCCAACACGTACGTTGCACACTGCAAAAAAGGTATTGTGAAGTGTTACCATAAAAAGGTGAGTTGTGATACGAGGACAAAGACTTTTATGGCACTGCACAATCAGACATGGTGAAACAGAGGCGAGACAGGAACAGTCCGTTTTCTTTTGTTTTCAAGGAGGACTTTTTCACAGAGACGTTTTAGTTCTATTCCGGGATATATTGATGAAAACTCTCAGTTGTCGTCCTTCCTTGACTTCCCATGTTTTTTCAGTGCTTCACCTGGCAGAATGTACTTCCTGGATACAAAAATCTAAACAGTCGGGATTTCTCATATTTGCGCTCATTATAGTTTTGCATCAAAAAATAAGAATTTTTTTTTTAATTCTTTGTTTTTTATTTCCATTTTTCTCCTCCTTACAGGGACTCTTTGATGATCCAGAGCTTGAATCCTTTTGAAGCTACATGTGTTGGGCATCCATGATGTCCAGGTATTTGGCCTCAATGATATGAGGAAGCACGTTGTTCCTAAAAAAAAAAACAGAACAGACAACATTTTTTTTAAATATCCTACATCAGTCATATAATACAATTATAAATATATTTTAAAAACATTTTCCTGTATCATATATGAAGCTAACAGAATCTCAATGTTCAGCACATCCACTAATAGATTTCTGTTTCATACATAATCATATATTGAATTTAAGCTACTTTTGGTTTGTGAGTCCGCTCCACCAGGGGTGGGTAGTAACTAGTTACACTTATTGTCAGTTACTTAAGCAAAATGTTAACAAAAATATAGATCCACTTTTGGTGCATATTTATTTTCACTTGGGCTTAAAAAAATATTGTTACTTTTACTTGAGTGACATGTTTGACTCCATCCTGAGTAATTTTACAAAATAATAAGGAAGCTGGTTTTAAGTAAAAGTACTCTAGACAGTTTAATGTATTCCAGACGGTTGCTATTTATGTTTAAGCAATGGCATTTGGATATTATCAATGGAGATATTAGTTTCTTTCAGGTTTTATGATAAGAAGAAATTTGCTTTTGAAAAAAATATTTTCCCTTAATAGGAACCATTATTGTTTTTATAGTTAATGTTTCAAGTGTTAATTATTAGACATAAGCAGTATATTAATACAGACACACATAGAACAACACATTTTAATTGTTACATTTACATACAGCCAAGAGAAATTTGCTGCTTGATGTGACTGAAATGGAAAACATTATTTTGTGTCATGTGTTATAGGTTCTGCACACTGTAGGACTAAAATGCAGTCAGCGGAAGAGTAAGGTGATGTTTAATACTTAAGCAGATAATAACCAGGTCGATCTCAAGCAAAGCGAACAGGACATGGAGCACAGAGAGAGTGAAGAAATGGTTAGACTGTGGAGGATAGCAAAACAGGGAGGCAGAGTACAATGAGAAACTAGAGGAAAATATACTTGCACTGATCTACAGTATAGATTAAAATACACAATAAATGGTTACCAAACTACCTCAATACTTTCTAGAAATAATGAACACAAAAAATGGACCAGATATGGCAAGATTTTTAAAACAAAAACGCAAATTATAGCAAAACATAAGCACTCAATGATAAACAGCTGAATCTTTAACTGAAGAAAATTACATTAATAACAATCAGAAAAGATAAAAATATACTGAGTCATACAGGTATAATAGAACATTAAGGGTTTGTCAAGGTAGATGGTTGTACCATATTCCCTAACCAATCCCTACATTCTCTCTGTATTTGGAAATAAATAGGATTTGGCTTTTATATAGGCAGAAAATGTTTACTAGCTTTGAACTATTTAAATAAAATAAGCTGAAACTGAAAGTAATACATTGAAGTACTCCTATTCCTATACTTGCTTGGAATTTTCTTTAGCCAATTTCTAGGTCTTGATAAGTTTCGTGGTAAAACTGAAAGGGGAAAAAGGGTCTTTTGAATTTCTGACGAATTCTGATAATGGTTAATGAATGAATGATTTAGATCTTTATATCTAAATTGCATGCTTTATCTTTGCTTTATCAGCTCATCACACTGAGTTGAATATATATAATATATAATTAACTGATTTAAAATTAAAGTAAATTAAACTGCACCAAAAAGTGGGTTACATTTTAAAAATGATTTACTGAAAGTATATATGTTCAAATTATTATACCTTTAAAAAAGAGCTAGGAAAAATGTTAAGGACTTAGGTGCCAAAACAGCATTTTCCTTTTTCACTAAGATACTTTTGGCAAATTTCGTAAGTTATTCTATAAGAATCAAAATATATTATAATAATTCTTTCTTTGGTAATCCTTGGTAAGTATAAGATTTTCACAGATTTTAAGATAGTGCTGTTCTAAGTTATACCATATAGAAATAAAGCTGCTAAATGTATGAACATAAAAACTGATGCTAGAGATCAGGGAAACATTACAAACAGGACTACCATCCAAGCTGTGAAAGGTCAAAGTTTTGCATTTAAAATATCTGAAAAGTTTTTGAAAATTAGAGAATTAAACAAGAAATGTAAGTTAGGAAAAAGTTTTATTCTAAAATAAAAAAGAAGAAACCCTGAACATGGTCTAAGGCGTAAATCCAGCTCTGATAATTAAAAGTTTTATATACAACCTACCAAGCTGCTAAATCAATTATTAATAATGTAGACTTTGCTTGAAATTAATAATAATGTCATTCTAATGTAATATAAATTGATCAACACATGAAAAGCAATGATTTAATATCCTATGGGTCATTTAATAAGGAATGAGTATTGCATTGTAGGCAGACAGAAATATTGCAACTGAACATCTCCAACACTAACACATTGCCATAATGTGCCTTCAGAAGAAAAGGCACAACAAATAAGCTACACAACATTCCTAAAGGGTGACAATAGACCCTTTTTCAGATTTAGACCAATATAAACTATATATCTACACGTACACACACGTCATGCAACAATACCCTTGTAGGGCCTTTCCATTGATATCTATTCATAGAACATTCAATTCTATGGCCTAACCCAGACCCCTACCCTAACCCTCACCATAACCAACACATATCTAAACCGAACCTAAATCCATTCACAGTTTAGTCCTAAACCTAACCCCCACCCCAACAAGAGAACCTTTTCTCATGGGAAGGCTGCTTTTTTTCAGTACCGGAGCTTTTTGGCTTATTCTCACCCCTGGTAATTAGCCGGGAACAGTAAGAGCTGCAACTAAAACCCTATTTACACTATCTTCTTGAAACCATGCTGAATACGGTCCAAGCATGCTAACTAAGATAACTGCTCAGTGTAAATGGAACTGGACTGTGCCAGAAACAACCAAACCGCGGTAAACCTAGTACTAGTTGAACAGTAGGGCTCGTCACGGTTCAGTTGTGGCTCTGATCTCTGATAACAAAGAATGCATGAGCAGAGCGCTTCATCTCCTTACAGTCAGCTTCCAGTAGTTGGTAGTAATGTACATCAGTAAGCTGCTTGCCAACTGCCATAAAACAGAAGAAGTGTAAACAACAATCAAAATCTTCTCAACACTACATTCTTGCCAAAAGCCCACTCTGTCAAGCAAAGTTACCAAAGGCTGCCTTCTTCGCCTGACTCTCCCCAAACAACAAAATATCACAATAACAACCAAACATAACTTCCTGAATGTTACAGGCCATTTTCATTTGCTTGATTCCCTCCTTCAATCCAAGCAGTAATACTGTAGATCGTCACTAGGAGGCGAGGAACTGTGCTAGCGTGGTGTGTAAACGGTCGTAAGGAACCGAGCTCGGTTAACTGATCCAAGCTTGGTGAGAACTCAACACAGATCGGTATCAGAGTGTAGTGTAAATGAGCCATATGGGTTTAACTAAAACAAAAATAGTACTGTCTAAAGAGGCGGGATCTCCTGAAAAGTAGCCAATAATAGGCAGTTTACTTTCTCGGGGGTTGGTTCCCCTCTCAAAGTGACAAAAGGTGACATGAGAGACAGAAACAGGTCTACACGAAAAGGAAAATAAAAAGCAAGCAGGAAAATAAAAACCAAGAGAGAGCAGACGAGCAGGAAATGATGGTTGTGAAATAACGTGTGCCATATAATATTGAACCTGCATTCATAAAACATTCACAATGTGCATGGAGAGTAGTTTGCATGTGTTTAAACACAACTGCTAGTATCAGTATGTGTTAGCACTGTTAGCAGAAATCAAGAAATTCTGCAGTGTCATTTTTTTGAAGCCTTATGTACATACTACCTATGATCCTCATTCATTTAAATGCTGCTGATTTATTGCCACAGTGACTGAATGTTAACACTAATTAATTTCATGCTACGATTCACTTCTGTCTACAACAGTGGTCTCAAACTCCAGTCCTGCCGCTCTCTGCTTCAACACACCTGACTCTAGTATGAGCTTATTAGAGCAGCTCTGCATACCTGACTGAGCTAGTGAAGCAGTTTGGGCATTTTATTCAGGTGTTCAGGGCAAGGGGTGCATCTTAAGGTTCACACGAGGATTGGAGTTTAAACCATTCCTCTGGATCCTGAATGCTTGGAGCAGCTCAAACTGACAAGAGCAAAACATACTTTCCAATTATTTTGGCAAGCATTTTTTTTTTTTAGTTTTCTGATGCCACTCTATGCCTAATCCTCAGAAAAAAAGCCAGCCAACTCTGTGACATAACAGGGAAAGAAACGTAAGCTATCTTCCTCCTCCTGAAGCAGGGGAACATTTAATTTTACTTTTTTTAAAACAACATGCAGGCTCAACATAAAAGCCAAACAGACAGCAAGTTAGACAGATGCTGGTCTTAGTATGATTGGAAATCAGTTTATTACAAAAGTGAACTTAAAAAACAAAAACAAAAGTATGCTGCAGAAAGCTATTATTTCAAATTTAGAAACAAAATACCCTCCTGTTTAGAGAGAGGCATGCAATTCTTCATATCCTAACACTTCACCTTCACAAAATATCATTTTGATCAATTCAAGGATAAACCCAAAACATTAAATGGCCTCACATATAAAAGGGAAGAAAAGCACAGCCAATTGTCAAGACTGAGAAAATTATTTTCAAAGTTACCACATCTTACCTGATGGGGATTAAGAGGATCATAACCAGAGGGAAGATCATTTTCATGTACGGTATCGGGTACATGCCAAATGTGCACAGCACCAGCAGCTGCATCATCTGCAGGAAGGTGAAGTAGTGGATCTTCCTCTGGGGCACTTTGCGAATGTAGTGGGTAGGTGGGTAAGATGTCTGCAGGAGGTGAGAGGATAAAAGCAGATTAAAATACAATCTCCCCTGTGGCTCCATTTCTTTGCTGTCCTCAGGTCTCTTGCGGCCTTTGAAAAATGATTACAGGCAGTGGACAGCCTACACACCTCTAAGATTTGGACTTTAAGTTTCAGATGACAACTTATATCAGCTTTCAGTAGCCTAAAAATCTCATGAAAAAGCTTTTCTTTTAAAAGTAAAAGGACATTTGCTTAACAATTTTCACGACAACGCATCATTCAGAGCCTGATTCTGAATTCATCAAATTGTTTCTCTTCCCTTCAAGTTGGGACTACAGCCTTTTGGAAGGATAACTTCAAAAACATTACACAAAAAAGTTACACAAATATAGTAAATGGCTGAATCTTTCCATTATAACACCCAAAATATATGAAGGTGTGGATATAAGCATGTGTTACACAGAGTAAATGTGAAGAAATTTTGTAATTTGGTTTAAGTCCACGAGATGTGCTGTGTCTATACATCCTGTCATGCAAAGGATTGTGGGAAATCAAACGGCTCCTATTTGCAGGATAGGAACGTCTTTAAGTCCCTATGCTAACTACCTGCTCCCTAATCCTGTGTCCTTCCTTACTGGCAGCTCTATTTGGACAGCGATGGCATTGGCTTCAGAATGCTTACCGATTTGCTGCATTTGGATTCAGCCAGACTGTCTTGCTGACTTCTGATCATTTGGAGATTATTTCCCCAGATTATAAAACTTTGTCCAAACTGGATCTTGTAATTCTGGTCTCTTGTGTTGTGCCATAACCCATGATAATAATTTTGGACATTGGTGGACTGATTTTGTTTCCAGCTAAACAAGTTGGATATTGGTGATTTCTAATCATTAGACAGATTTATACAGATTTATTTTGTCATTTTGTGTAAACAGAAAGAAATTTTGGTAAGAACAGCTCTCTAGATAATTTCATTTTCATGTAAAGAAATACATAAAAACAGTAATATAAACATCCATCCATCCATCCATTATCTTACACGCTTCTCCCAATTGGGGTCGCGAAGGGTGCTGGTGCCTATCTCCAGCAGTCAATGGGCGAGAGGCGGGGTACACCCTGGACAGGTTGCCAGTCCATCGCAGGGCAACACAGAGACACACAGGACAAACAACCATTCACACACACACTCACACCTAAGGACAATATAGAGAACATATGACTGTATATTTACAGTTCTACCATTTCATCATGTCATGCAATTTACTGTTAAGTGAAGGAAGCCAATAGAAGCCAATAGCAATTGCATGGAACCTAACCCATTGCTAACATGTTTTAAGCTGCCTTTTTTTTTAAAGTTAAGGCACACTTTACTTTAATAAGGTTTTAGACTCTAACCAGATGTTAATGTTCATATGTGTCCTTATACTGTAATTACATTGGATTGCTAAAATATGACCAAATAGTCCTTATAAATGAGTTCCCTCATGTCTACTAACTATTGGCTATTGTCCTACCAAAGGTTAAAGGTTTCTTATCCAAAGTGACCAGATTCCTGAAATCCAATCTGGGGACATTTCCAGCTCAGAAAATTTAAATAGGAAACAGGGACAGTGAAGCTTTCATCCCTTTTTAGATCTTCATTAATATCTAAACAAAAACAAAAAAAAGTGTTAAATCCAGGGAAGTGCCTCTCCTATTCCCTAAGATTGATAAAATGAATCTATGGATAGTGTTTATTAGTGCCATATGGTAATTCAGTCTTCTACGTCTTCTTCCCTTTCTATCTTTTTTTCCTTGTAGCTGACTTCTGCCAGCTCTCTGTTTTACTCTTCTAAGCAGATTTTTCTCCTCTTTAACTGATCTTTCCATCAGTGTTGCTGTTTTCTTCCGCTCTCATTCAATCTTCTATCAGTCTTCTAATCATCTTCCTCTCCTCTCAATCTGACACTAATCTAAAACAGGGACATAATTCAATCAAAATCCTTTCCAAACGCATAATCTCATCATACATATGATTATTATGATGACAGTGATTATTATTATTGTTGTTGTTTTTATCTCACCTGATTAACAACTAAAAAAGCTAATAAGTAAAAACAACCAAACAAATGAACATTAAACAGGTGGTTATCTCTTCCTCTATAATTCTTAGATCATTCAGATCTTGTCTCATTCAGTTTTCCTTTAACCGTCTCTTATTTTTAATAATGAGGAACAGGTGGTCCAAAACGGCGACTGTCCCTAGAAATCGGGGATGTCTGGTCACCGTATCCCTAGCCCCAATTATTCCCTCAGAAACAATTGCAAAGTTGTTAAGAATCAATTATCTAAACCGTTAACCTCTGATTAGGAAAATTATTTTGTAAAATATTATTTTCAAAATTATGTTTTGTTTATTTACCTCTTGGATTTGTATTTTGAATTGGTTGAACATTAAAATTTCTCTAATTTAGCCTCAAAGCTAATTTAATCTTTTTCTAACTCTTGAAGATGAACTTTGGTTCTCAAATATAAAATCGATGCCAAACTGTGATATCATTACATAATTGTATTGATAAAGGTTCTCAACTCTTTTCATTTCCTTTTCCTTTTATGTGTACATAGTAGCTAATTAGCTTGTGTTTGACTCTTTTACTAAAAATGTTTGAATTTGAGTTAAATGGTTTTTGATAATAAATTCTTAAATTTTAATCAGAAGTTGTGAATTTATTCTGCATGCGAATAGTTAGTTGATGGATTATGATTTAAGCTCAATTCCCACTTTCATTTGTTGTCCTAACACACAGCAAGGTGAGTGTCTGTTCACAGAACAGCAGATGATGACCTGAAAGTTATTTATTAAATTATATTAAGTTACAACATTTAATTACATAACACCAGTATGAGGGCAGAGTGTGAATTCAGCCTCCAGAACAAAACAAAGGTAGAAACAAAAAATCATCCATCTGTCTTCTGCTGGAATCCAACTTCAGACCTTTAATAACACACAAGCTGGTGTGCAAGTTAGGTCAAGCAGAATAGAATAGACACTATGGGTTTAGATCAAAGCCGCTAATTTATTTTCTCTTTGTTAGTATAAGTATTTAATTTCATAAATTTGTATGTTTATGGTGTTACTGAGGCCATAGTTAATTAATATATTCTTTTTGTCACAGCAGAGGGAAAGTTACTTTAGACTTTTACACTTTAGACAGATTTTATTTATCATTTTGTTTACACAAGTGTAAAACAAAAAGAAATTTCCCATTTGGAAACAGCTCACAGTACAATTTCATCTTTTTAAAAGTGCAGCCTTAAAAAAAGTAAATAACTGTAAATTTACAGTTCTAACATTTTTTTTTACAAGAATTCATCAGTTGCTGTTGATTTTCTGTTTAGCTTGTTTAACTTAATATGAACATAAATCCTTTTAAACATTTAATCATTAGCATTAAAAACTATGTGATGGGTGGATTTGTTTTTTTTTACCTTGTCATTCCAAATAATAGACAATAAAGACAATTATACCTCTTGTCTGATTTATCTTTTTTAACACTTTAACCTCAGCTAGATTTGGCATGTTTGAAAAATGTAGGAAAAAAATGAGCGCAGAGAGTAATTAAAAGACTACTGCATCAGAAGGACTTTGTGTTATGATTGCATCTTTTTAAGAATTGTGTTGTAGTTCTTGAAGAAATAAAAAAAAGCAAAAGTGGGATAAACAGGCCAAAAGTTCTGATGGGTGCAGATCCAGTTAAATGCTGAACTCTGTTAAACACTAAAAAAGGTGGTTGATAAATAATAAATGTACATTAAAAAGAAGAATCATAACAGAGTATTTATAACAGGCCACTTTGTCTTTATGCTTCAGTATTTATTCTGAAGCTCTTTTCTCATAGAGGGTGAGGTTCCTCCTGCTGCCATTTGGGGGCACCAGCATGTCAAATATAAAGGGGAACTAAAAGCTTTGCTTTATCTCCTTACTGTGACAGATGCAAGGTTAAACCGGACACTGGGGATAGGAGACACAAAAAAGGAGATTCCTGCAGGTTTTCTTTTCATGTAAATATTTACTGGATATTCAATTTAATATTTTCAATCTTCTGCTCTACAGGTTGAGCAGAATTGTCCTGCATCTTTATGGGGCAGTTTCCAAACACAGATTTAGAATTGTTTTATTTGAAAAGGATAGCTTTTAATTCCTTAAACCAAATCCCCACATGTATCTTGAGAGGAAAATTAAGATGTTAGTAAGTGAGATGCGACTCATGCATGAAGTCAGCTGTTTGATCTGGTTAGCTCCAGAGTCAAAATATTGGCACAAGCCCAAATCCACACACACACATTATTACTCATTCACCCTCTTACTAACCTGTTCTTTCAGGAGGAGAGCCATGCGGTCACACATCTGGTTTCCGTCGATGGAGGTGAGGGCGATGTAGAGGAAGAGGCCGTACAGGACGGGTTTGGGTATCCATTGCAGTGGAACGGGCAGCAGCAGAACTGATACGCCAATAAAGATGTTGGCAGCCAGAGATGTCAGGCGGGTCTCCTTTACCTGGACAATACTAAGGAGAAACAAAAACATGTGCACGTGTAAAACCAATAGTTACTATTCTAGTTAATAGAATTGCTGCATTTCAACATGGAACATGGTTTGACACCTTTTTTTTTGGCTGTAAACATTTAACTGTTAAAGTTCTGATCTTTGCACATTCAAGCAAATACGGAAGCAGCAAGAGGATAAAATGATGGTATTGAGGCAAATCAAACTTTTTATTTCAAATTTCTACCATTGTACCATTTCATGGAGGTATTAATCTACAGGTACAAAAACAAAAATAGGCTCTTTAAATCACCTGCATTGAATAACAAATACAATTAAAACAATTGAAAAACTAATTGAGAAAAACTATATTTATCTTATAGACTTATCTTTAGACTCATTAAGGGGTGAAATTTTTGTTTCTATTGGTAGACATTACAAATCTCATTTCACATTGCTGTGTAAAAATTTAGTTTCACTTTTCTTTGCAACGTTGCTTCAATTCAATGAGGATTTGCAGGCATTCATTTCTGAAAATCCGACTACGGCATTTCAATCAGCTGGTCCCGGTTATTTTCCTCATCAGAAATCTTCTGTAGGTTCCTGCTGTGTTTGCTATCACTGTCCTTAAAATGATCTAGTTTCAGTCATACTATTGCTGTCCAACAGATGCAATTCCTTTCGGTATGCAAAGGAGTGCTTCCCAGGTAGTCTAAGGCGTACATGCTTTTGTGGTGTGTTTGGTTTTCTCCAAACATGCCAGTTGTTGTTTTTTCCAAGCAATATTTTCTGGTTCAAATAGATTGATTTTGCAAACCTACCACAAGCTGGCATTGTTTGTTTGTATGGAGGGAAGAGGCTTTGTTAAAAGAATCCTTCCAAACACGACACACCTGTTCGGAGCCTGATCAAATTCTCCTGCTATCAACCTTAGAAGCTAAGATGCCATCTTAGGCCTTCTGTTTGTGAGATGGAGCTTTTTATTTTTTTCTTCTTATTTCTCTGGGTAATTTGTGGTGTGACATTTCCAGAACATTCTCTCCTGGGATCATTGGCTGCTGTCTTAAATATTTCTTTATATGTTTTTCTTTTTTTGGCATTCTGTTGGTTGACTATTATCATGTCCTAATCCATATGGAGTGAATTTTGATCCATTATTATTGCAAGTAAGTAACATGTTTTGTACATAGAAATAAAAAGATAACAACTCTGCCTTTTGGAAATAAAATGTTAAAATACTATCCTGAATTTAAGCTTTGAAAGATGTTTTAGTGAAAAACATGGATGTTTTCTCAGATATTGTTTTTCAATTATGTTTTTCAGATTTTATTTTAATTTCTTTTTTCAAATTTTTATTTTTATACAGATTTTATATTTTCTTTTTTTAAGTTTCTGTCTTTCAAATTGAGTTTGATGAATTGCATTCTTTTCAAATTGCATAACACCCCTGCAGACCAATAGAAATGCATCTTTGCTCCTCAAACAAGAGGAAAGTCTATATCTAAAAGTGAATAGAATGTGACCTGTAAAACATGATTTGAAAAGAACAGAAATCACGAAAAAAAATCCTTTAAAAAGTAAAATAAAAAAAACAAAATCTGTAAGAAAAAAAAAATAGTGTGTAAAAATGTGAAAAAAAAACTGACAAAAAACTAAATCTAAGTAAACAGCAATGTTACAAAAGTTACAAAACCATTTATTGGGTAAGATGTTTAATATATATGTTTATTTCTTATATATTTTTTTCTTTTTTGTATGTTTCCATTAATAAAATGGTTTTTTTCTTGCAAAATAATATAACAACAATGGAACAAAATGACTCTGTAGGAGCAAAGAAATGAAAATGGGTCATTAATTCCATTATTAACCCTGTAATGCCAAATGTATCATATTTGATACATACGGTTTCTGAAATGTTTTGCATCTGACACCTTTTGCATAATTTAATGGTAAAAACTTTACTCAAAATCCTACTATACACAATCAGATATACCTGATAACAGAGGGCAGAAGACTACACAAAGTCTTATCGCATAGTAATAAATTATTAATATCAAAAATGTATTTCTGTTTTTTCTTTTTACATATTTTGTTAAAAGGCCAAATAAGGACTTTAAACCAAAAAAAAGTAAATTTCTGTTTCGTTTTGTTCTTGGATCGGGCTTTAAAGGGTTAAATGAATTATCTTTTTAATGGAATACAAGCAAAAAACAGAATAGTGAGATTGAAGAACTTGAAGTTTTTATTTTTCACATATACATTGCATCAAATCCTCTTACTAAAACAAATGATTACCTCTTCTACCCTTACACAAGACTTTCCCCAAATATATATTTATCATACTCAACTACTTTATTAATCCTGATATGCAAAGTATAATCTGCATGACTGTGGATAAAATGCTCAACTTAATCCTCTCATCTTTTAAAAACTCCCTCAGCTCATCCCTCCTCAAAGAAAATGGTTAGTTACATGTTAATCATGCAATCAAGAAAGAGCATGAGATTAAAAAAATCAAAGTCAGCACATGCTCTGAAGATGAACTTTAACAGAGCATTTGATCATTGTAGGTGGTGAGAGGGTGGATAACTCACGTCTCATAGAGGTGCCCCCCCTCCACACGCTGCTCCACAAAAGCCAGCTGGCGCACATGTAGGGTGGAGTGGGGGAAGGCGGCGTGCATCCAGGGCAACCCCAGCACCGACATGAGTATGTTAATGAGGCCAGAGAGCATCAGGTCCCAGTGATACGCCGTACCCTTGAGCAACCTGGGGAGCGAGGCAACATATAAGGCTCTACAACAGCAGCTCAAACAGGAAACAAAAGAATTAATGTGAACACAGACAAAGACGATACGTAATTAAACACATTGATACACAAATGGAGCGAGCATACGTCGCATTCTCTTTCCTCTCATCCAGCATGCAAGAACATTCATCTGTATTATTTACATTCTTTCTTATTGCCGTGGAAGGCAGAGCATAAATCAATACGTCAACATTAACATTTAAGGGGAGTGTGACATTAGAGCGGCATAGCATACAAACAAGTAGGCAGCAGCCAAAGCCTTGAACATTTTGTGCTCATGTTAGTGTTGGATCACAGCAGAAACTGGCCAACAGGGCCTAAGTCTGTGTCCTTTGGGGAAAAGGCAACCCTTAAGTATAAAAATGTTATACTGTGTGAGGGTAAACATGTCTGTTCTGTTAATAACATTATAGATCAAAAGCTGTGTGCTGTTTTTGTGTCTTTAAACACTTGAACAGCAAATAAGAGAGAATGGGAGCATCAGAGGATAGTGATAGGTCTTACAGAGGGAATAAAAGTTTTATGAGTAATAAAGGAATTAATATTCACACAGAGCAAGGTCTTGTATATTTCTGACTGGATGTTTGACCCGATCCTCTGACTAGAATTGCTGAGATGGGTATGACTGCAGCCTGCAGAGCTTAACCTATGGCCTATGTGCTCTTACCTTCATTACATATCAAAATCACCTGTCCTTTTTTATGCGATACAATGTCTGGTGTTACACCATATTCTATGGCCCATCATATATTATGACTGTTGTGGATTCTTCTCTGTAGCTACAACCCCTAACTTAACAGTGCTGACCAGATGAGCATGTTGCTCTTAACATAATTTCTTCATTGTTACTAGCTACATACAGTAAAAAACTGCCATTTGATCAGATGAAAAAAGGACAAGTTATGAAGATATGTAAAGCGGTTTCCCTTGCAAGGTAAGAGCAGGGGGGCGTGGCTTAACTTCACCAGATAAGCGCCATAAGACGAGATCAAGGACAAACTGCAGAGAAAATTTTATACAAATCCAGGAACCACATGGACAAGCTATGTGCCTTTAGGGGGTATTGTAATAATAAAACAAAGATTCAAAAACTTAGCCCCAATGACAAGAAGAGGGTTAAAGGAAGTCAAGCTGTGGCTATCAACTTGTCTACTTTTAAGGGAAGGCCTAAACCTTTCCTTTTTGATAAAGCCTATCGTTAAAGTCGCTTAGGTTATCCAATGCTATCTCTACAGTAATGCTCTATAGGCTTAGATTGCTGGAGGATATAGGAACCCCTTTCTTTAATCATTCTGTTTCATTTTATATCTGTTCTCCGATTTTGCAGAATTTGTTTGTTCAATCTCTAACACTATGCTCTCTCTGCTTTTTCTCATAGCACCTTCATTTGGTCTATTCCTGTTTGGCTCTGACACTATCCTGGAGAGAAATATCAGCTGTGCTGCTGCCATTAACACCTTTGTTTATAGATGCTAGAGCTTGGCCTGTTTTTCCAGTGTATTTCTGTTTCTCTGACTGTGACTAGCTGTACGTGCTTGCTTTCATCCTCTGACATGGGAGCAGGCTCGGAGCTTGCCTAGCTGGCTGTGTGATTCCTGGACCGTGCCGTCTGTGGAGATGGTTGACAGTTGTCTTTATTATCTCTGCTTCTTTTTATATGTCTGCTTCTGTCTCCATGAACCCAAGTCGGCCTTCGGCAGATGGTCACACTGAGCCTGGTTCTGCTGGAGGTTTCTTCCTGTTAAAAGGGAGTTTTTCCTCTCCACTGTCAGTACAAGCATTCTCGGTGTGAGGGTTTGCTTTCAAGTTAGTCGATGCAATCAACTGGTTTTACTTAGATAGAAAACTTTAAATTAATTTCTCTCTCTGATCTGGTGAACTGTAAAGTGCCTTGAGCTGACATGTTGCGAATTGGTGCTAAATAAATCAAATGAATTGAATTAAATTAATTTCTAGGCCACTGTTGATGTAATATAAAGTGTGATGATGAAAACAGCGCCAATGATGTATTAAGTGTTAACAAATAAGAAGGGTCTTCAGATCTGACTGTATGATCTTGTTGAATAGTGCCTGTAAAGTGCCTTGAAATGACATGTTGTGAATTGTGAACTGTGAACTTTTATAACCACTGTACCACCTGTGATTTCCAGCATTGTGCTGAGAGTCACAAATCCCGATTCAAGAATAAAACCGCCACTATGAACCTAATACCAAATTTCGCAAAGACCAGTCATTTGGACGGCACACCTAACATCTAAGTAGGAATTCAAAACACTTGTAGAAAATGTAAAAAACGCTGAAGGTGAATTCAAACTGAATGCTTACAAGGCAAATTTCCTGTGTGCTCTTTCTGGCATTGGTTGCTTGACATTTTGCGTATCTGTTGCAAAAGGAAGCTGTTTGTAGATCTACTTGTTTCAGACTTGATTCGCTGTATTCTGAATGGTTCAGCAGCATTATGTCTGATTTATTGGCATTGGTGGACTGCAAAACGTGGCTTGAGTAAGGAGGAAGGAGAACATGATCATCTTCCAACTTTCACACAAATCAATAGCTATCTTGCGGTAGGCTGGACACAATTATATATTAAAACAGGACCATTATTCTCAACACAAATTGAAGATGGTTTTAAAATAAATAAATAAAGCCTTCAAGCCTCAAATGTCTGAAATGAATGTCCAATGCTTAGAACTGGGAAACCAGCCAATATAAATGGACTCAAACAGTTTTAAGAGATTTTAAATATTCAAAACTTGCTAAGAGCAAAGAAATGCAGAGTTAACCTAATATTAGTTAGCTTGTATGTCTATAATTGAACTGGTAGGTAAAACCAACTGCTGTGTGGGTTAGAAAAATAATGCATTCGAAAATACAACCTTTTTAACTTCAATGTACTTTATAAAAACAATAGTTTTCTCAAGATTTGTAATATTTTATGTTATATTGAGGCGCTCCTTCCCAGGCGTTCCTTCCCTGTCCTATACATGAAGACAACACAAATACAGCAAGGTTTAAAACCTCCTAATTGTATATATCCCCCACCTGTTCTCTGGAGCGTTGGTCAGAGAAACCACAATATTCTGGTCGATGAAGATGAGAAGAGCCAGGAGGAAGCCGAGTCCCATGGCGCTGACTACGTTCATGGCCGACAGCCGCTCAAAAGGCGCCACGTTGAACACGGGCCGATCGTGATCTTTAAAGACTGGAACTGGAGGAAGAATACAAAAACAACATTAAGAAGGAGAAAGTTACAGCAGCTTATACTATGAAAATGAGCCTAATCTCTTCTTATTTTAGAATTTTCACATAAGCAACTGTAAAAGGGTCCATGATTTGATGATGCTATCTAGTTTATTTAAAATAAATGTTGTAATTCAAGTTTACAAACCTATTAATTAGTTACTGGTTTTCATATTTAATGCTTTGTACCTAATTTAGTGCTATGTTGTCAAAAACTGCTGAATTGAATGTAGCTGGTTACATTTAGGAAATGACAAGACAATAATGGATCTATTATGCTATGACTTATTGTCTCTGGAGGTAACAGAACAGAAAATTGTCCAGGCACTTAAATTTAAATTCATTCGAGGTTTGGCAGGCGTCTCTGTTCTGACCCCCAGAGAACAGCTGCTGCCTTGGCAACAATAGAGGGTAGAAATGTTGCCAAACAACAGAGAATAAAAACTGAAAATGGCCAACGTGTTTTGCCCTTCGCCTTTATTAAAAGCATAAAGCGATAATAAGGGCAGCAAATATGAGGGCTCTGTAACAAAAAAGGTCTATTTCGGACAAAACCAGGTTTTACCTTTAGTACAGCTTGGCTGTACTGCAGCGGGTCAATAGAAACCTTCCCAAAACAGCCCTTCTCATCACTAAGTGAGAAATGATAATTTACTTTGACTTACCAATAAAAGTGTTGTACTCAGACCAGGTGTTTATTAAAAGAAAAATATCCACCTAAAATGTCCAAGGTACACAAAAATCCGACAGTATCCATTTAAAGGTTGTACCAGCTTTATTCCATGAGTCCAACCTGTCTACTTTTAAAACCCTTTTTTGTAGCCTGATAAACCAGACTAAATGTGAGATTAAATGTGTAATTTAGTCTGGCCCCGATGAATGAGACATCGGAAGATTGTTGATGAGAACAACTCGCTGTTTTTCAAACCATGTCTTTGTCTACTTGCCAACGCTCTGATCAATGAGCACAACTGACTGTGACGTGCGATGGAAAGCTGGTGGGGGAGTGTAAACAAACAGCCTGTCGGTAAAACGGCGAATACGTCCTTCTTAAAAATGAATGAGCGTATAGCCTCTTCCTGCTCACGTTTCAACTAAAACCCCAAGTCTAATCCTTCCAAAACTAATTCGAAATCTTCTCTGCTGTGCTTTCTCCAGCGTTGGGCAGCTTTGTTGTCACTCCCTCAAAACCCGCTTTGAATCCGGATATTAAAGACACATCTCTGCGTTGTGATTGGCCCGCCAGTTCTAGGACCTGAGGCATTAATCGAGGCCACTCGCAGGCAAAAATTATTTTGGCCACTGGCGGGTGGGGCTAGTTTCCTAGGCTACTTCTTTTGAATAAAGCTTAAAGTTAGACTCTATCTCTATAGATATACAGTACTGCTATAGGTTTAGACTGCTTGAGGACATAGGGGCCATTTTCATGATTGTTTCATTCAATCTCTATTATCAAATTCTCAAATTTGTAAGTTCAATCCCTAACTTTATATCCTCTCTTTTTTATATCCCCACACGGCTCCCTGGGTGCCGGGGAACAGTGTGGGGTTAAGGGTCTTGCTCAGGAACCCAGAGTGCAGGTTGTGGGGATTGAACCAGGTACTTGCAACCTTCTCATAGCACAAGCACACTGCTCTAACCAATAGGCCTCACTGCCCTGTTGTATATGCCTGGAGGTTTCCCTGCAATAGACCAGAATCATGTCCAGGGCGTAACATGCCTATTGCCCATAGACTGTTGAAGATTGGGACCAGCACCTTTGTAGCCCTGTTGGACAAGCAATAAAGGGTGGATGAATTATTTGTTTGAGAACTTATAAATTATAAGTTATATTTTAAAGAAGCAAACACTTCACTTTTTCCATAAAATATTTTGATTTATGTAAATTCCTGTTTGAGATGAAGGAATTAAGACTCTTACTGTGACAAAATGACTGTACATATAGTCCATAAATTGTAGAGTGGGTGGATGACAGAGTTGAAGGTAGAGTCACTGACTACACCTGGTGTAACATCCTTGACCAAAATCACAAGCTCCATCTAAACGGAGGTCAAAACCTTGCAAAGAGCCTCTACCACCATTAGGATGTGTGTAATGGATGTGTGTTTTGCATGCGACACATTTTTGTTTCCGGATTAAATAGAGGAAATTTTATGCTGCTTTTCCCTGCTGTTAACATAGGATTTAGGGGTAGATAGCAGCCAGGTGTTGTCAATTTAAAGATCTTGATTAACTGATCTCAGGAGCTCTCTATCAGTAGTTTTGACCAATAGCTGGTCTGGATTAGATCTGTTTCTCTCTAACACCAAGAAACACAGTCAGTGTGCAATTATAAAACAGAAGAGGTAAGTAGTTACATTTGCTAACTTTTTTACTAAGTTTACTTATAAGAGTAATTTTACTGCACCATACCTTTTATGGTTACTTGAATTATATTATTGTGAAGTATCTCTACTATTACTATATTGAGATTTTTGGTTACCTCCTGTGAACTGGTTTTAATTTATAATATAAACCAGTTTTACCTCCCTCAGGTTTGGATTACTTTTGGAGCTCCTTTCCTGTCCTGTTTTATAACAGCTTTGCTGATTTGAAGATGGTTACAGATGCTATCTAGCCTCCTCTTCGAAACAGATAAGGCCTTTCTGTTTTATTGAGGATGAAACCTTTTCATTTTCTATTTCCTACTCTAAGAAGAGCCTCAGAACAAGATTTTCACCACTTCTGAGCTGCCTCATCATAAGACTCGTCAATAGGTAAATCCCTCAAGTGATACTGATATAACAAATTAGGAATTCATAAAACCATGAAAACTTTATGATTTACCTTTCATGACAGAAAATCTTTGCTATGTTACTGTATAAAAGGTGGCTAGATCGGTAACCTCAAAGGCTTCATAGCAATATTTTAAACAAGTTTTCTTTTTGTTCTGTTTATTTTAAGTCTGTTTTGATATAATGATCTAGAGTTGATAGAGTACACCTGTTGTTGCTGTATTTCATTTGTTTTGTCACATTGTGTCACACAGAATGACATCAAATCATGATTGGTTTACACACACACACACAAAAAAAGAAAAAATAGAACTGCATTGGTATAGAGGGGTGAATTTTATAGGGTTGTTTATATAGATTTTAGCCCCAAGGAAAGATAAATCTGTATCTTCCATCTATCCCTCCCTATTGTTGAAAATCATATGTATGATAGCAGACCTCTTTGGACCAACGAACTGAGAGGTTATGGAGTTACTTAAGAAGACAAGGCCACAATCACCCATCTAGATTAAATCCTACGTCTAAGTACCTAAAATTAAAGTGTCACATTTGTTTTCTTAGCCAGCAACAACTTTTAGCTAAGTTAGCTCCAAAAGTTGGTAGTTTAGCCAAGAATATTACATATTACGGGTAGCTGTACTTTAATCTTTCGTTAGTCAAGTAAAAGTAGAAAGTATTCATCCACTAAGTAAGAGTATAAAAGTAGGCTTACTGGAGGAAATAGCTGCTCAAGTACAGAGTAATGGTTCAATCATAACATGTGATCTGAAATTTCAAATAATCAGTGAGATTTATGTGTAAATTGTGGGGGTTGGGTGGGGGGTTGCGATGATAGCGGGAAGGAATCAACTGCATCGCTGCATTGTTGGTTTTCCCCTTACAGGGCAACAGAACACCTCACCTGTTCAGGCAGGCCAACAATTCCCTGTAACGACGCCCCTTTCAGAGACATAGACAGAGACATTTATTGCAGGCTGACAAAGAACATAAACAACCCCATTCCTAAGGGGCGGACCCGTTTGTCCGGTTCAATTTGTATGTTTTGTAAGCCAAAACAAGGCTTTGTTTTTGATCCTCTCTACAAAGCCTCAAACTCAACACTATTTCTGACATTTTGAATTGAAAAAGAATTCCTGGAGGGGAAGCGAAACTTCTTCAAACTTGGAAACAAAGTCCAGCAGATTGTTTTTTTTTTTTTCAGTTTTTGGAATGACCTGGATGACTGAGAATTGCAATGCGTCAAAAAGATGTTTGATTCCAAGAAGAATAGTCTGACTGTTGAAGTTCACTAAAGCTAGCTCAGGAAGCGTTCTGACATCGCTGTCAAGTTAATAAACTCAAGGGTACATGTCCTTGCTGATGTTGTTAGCCATGATTTTAAGCTCTATCCTCAAATACATTTTCCACGAGGCATTAGAGCATTATTTATGATATATTATATTTCAGCAGTAGTACCAGCAGACGACGCCACATCTGTTATGTCAGCTCTTTTGCTCCCGGTGCTGGAACTTTATTTAGGCTAAAGAAGGATAATAAAAACACTATCAGGACGGACACTTGGAGTATATAGCCTTATTTGATCATAATCAACTTTAATTTGGTCTTTTTGGTATAGACATAAAACACGACTATTTGCTTTTGATTAAAATCAAAAAGTACCATAAAGTACAACTACTATATATATTCTTTTAAAAGTTACTCAAGTAGATGTAAGTTAGTTAGGTTAGCTCCCATGTTTTAGGGGAGCTCAGACTGTGTAAAGTGGGACTCTAGGTCACATGACTCATTTAATTATGATACGAGCCTCTAAAGTTACATATGCATCCACAAACAGGTTTACATTTGAAGGCAATCCAACTTTCACTCAGTTTTTTGAAGACGTTTCAACACCTTCAAAAAACTGAGCGAAATTCCAGTTGCCTTCCAAATTAAGCCTGTTGGTGTCAATGACCTCGATGAATGAGAATTTACACAGGCATGTTACATTACCATGCCGATAAGGGCATCATTATGCAGCAAGTGGTGCATATTAGCCTGGACAATTATTTTATTTAAGCTAATAAATGCCTAAATTGAAGTTAATCATTGGCTTTGGAGTACAGAGGTATCCAATAGATTGTCCATTGACCAAAGATTAAAAAAACCTTATATGCTACTGCTGCACAACATGCAGCAAAAAACAACTTTCACAGAAACCATCTGCATCTGTCAGAAATGTCTTTTTTAAGGCAATTTATAGATGCCTCCATCAGATTTTAGAAAACCAAACTAAATAATGGCTAAATTTGTATTGGCTGGGCATTCAGGTGGGTAAGAGCTGCTGCGTGCCCAGCCTGCTGCCTACTAGAGCTGTTCCAAAGCCAGTGCAATAAAGCGCACAGCAGAATGAAAAGACATACAGTATGTGGGTACCACCGAAGCTATGAGCAGGCGTGGCCCTCAGGTGGAGAAGACGAACAGACTGGGCTCCTGGGGAACCACTGTAGGATTCTCAATCTTAGGTTTAAGGAATTGACCAACCCTTTAACAGATCTGACCCTAAAGGTTTCAGATCTGATCCTGTGGAAGGACATTAATGGAGTGATGACAAACTTTAATGTTATTACTAGAAAATTGGGCTATTCCTAATTGTATTGATAAAATAACGATGAAATAATGATAAAAGAAGCATTTTTTTCTTTTAGCTATGTCATAAAAATCTTTTTTTTTTCTTTTTTTTTTGCCTCGACTGGTCTTTTTCTTTATTTTTTTCAGCCTTCAGAAGTGGTGTGGTACAGTGATGTGGAGAGGAAGCTTCCCTTTCAGGAAAAACTCTTTCTTAGGGGTTGGAAGAAAATAATTATTATTTCATAACAGATTTATACTCTGCAGCAATAAAGGCATTGTTAAATTAAATATATATCTATAGTTGACCTATGACCTTTAAAGAGGGAGAGGTTTAAGTTTAAAATTTTAAGGCAAGGTAAATGTTCCAAACATATAATAATCATTATTTTGAAACAGTTAGCAAAATGCTTTGTTTCCTTTTGTTTAACACTTTTTAAAACTCAATATTAATTGAATTTAGCACAGGTATGTATAATTCTATCACAAACTCAAATGCCAATGTGAGTGAAAATATGATGAAATTGAACTTCTCAAGAAACCTGTGTATAAATTAACAGTTGTAAAGCTGCAATAAACTGAAATAAAACCATTAAAGTGTTAGTCAAAAAAATTCTACATAAGAAAAATGTCATACAAACACTGACTTCTTGAAATTATGGCTGCTTATGCTTATTCTAAGAGCCAGAAAGTTATTGACTAATTTGCAAACCATTTAAATAATCATTTAACAAATAATAATGTATGTTAAAGAATCTAAAAAAGTAGGATTTAAGCACTTAGTAGAGGTAGAAATGTAAGGACTAATTCCTGTCAGACCACAGACAACGCAAAGCTATTTTTATTCAGCAATCTGGGCAAAAATATCCAAGTATGTATATAAAATGATACTAACGCTCGATGTCGCTAAAAATGTAGGAGCCAATGAAGGAGAAGAGCAGCACTGAGATCGGCAGGGCACAGTCCGACAGCACTTCTCTCACTTTGGCATGCAGGAACGGACTGAGAGACAGAGACAGAGAGAAAGGGAAGTGGAGTGAGCAAGAAGAGACAAATAATGGAGGAATACAATTACTGTGGACAAGACAAGGACAATGGCTGCAATCCTGACACTGCTTAAGTACCTTACTCCGCCTCTTGCTTACACAATTGAATCCAGCTTTGAGGTTGATTTGATTACCAAGAGCAATCAGTAGTAGAATATTAATGCTTATTAAATCACAGGCTGGAACTGAAGCTTCAACATAAAAGTGAGCTTTGCAAGTTTTGTCTGGAAAGTTCCTGTAAGCAGTATCAGTCTTGACGATCTATAAAGGCAAAGCCCTACCCGGTAGTATTCATCCCCACCCAAACGTGATTTAAAGTTCTCCAGTGATTAATCTTTCAAGTGCCCCAGCACATTAATGCTGAATGTACCTTCTTTTGAACTGATAGAGGGTATAGCCCATCCATAATGTTCCGAGCATCAGCAGAAGGCAAAGGAGTGGCCTTTCTCTAGTGCACTGGATGACAGATTCAGGCAGAACATCCAACGCAGACCTGGCCACCACCTCACTCCTGTTTCCTCCCTGCAGGTCTCCACCCTGAGGAAAAACTATGCTGCTGTTTTCCAGAGTTGTTTCTAGGTAGTACTTCTGAAAGACTGAAACACAATTCACAGTGATCAAAGGGAAGCTTCAGAATAAGAAAACAGAACTTGTGTACCAGTTTTACAGACGTTTGTTTCAGGTTAAGGTGTTCTGAGGCTCTTGAATCTTCTCACACTTTTCATTAGTATTTTGTGTGACAGACCAACTGCTGCTGGACTTATAGAGTATGTTTACGCTTAGAAACTTAAAACCCATAGTCTTTGTCCTTTTTTTGCAAATGAACTCAGATGCTGTTATAGGTGGAGGTTCGTGTATAAACAGTCATATTCAAGCCCTGTTACAGATTCCCGACTGGATTTAGGTCTTAACTTTGCATCGGCCATCATCACTCATTACATTTATAGAATTTGTTTTAAAATATTTAAACTGCATGCTTCCAGACTTTGATATTTAGGGTTTTTGTACTCCTGGAGGATTAACCTCTGCTCAGATTTAAAGTCTTTTGCAGGTTTTAATACTTTTTTCCTAGCAGTTCCTAGCATTGTGTACTGTACTATTCAGCTCCATCTACCTTTGTATGAACTACAGCAAGCTTTCCTGCAGCTAAAAAATGGATCACTACAGCATTATCCTGCCAACCCCATGCTTCACCAAGGGCATACTGAGCTCTTTGCTCAAACCAGAAAGGCAAAAAAATGGCTGACCTTTTCGGTTGCCAAAATAAAAAATACTATTTCTTTAGTTTGCTAGTATCTGTGAATCAAACTACTGTGGAGGAGTGGATTAAGTTAATCTTTGATTATGATGTTCCAGTGCAGCTTTTCATGTATGTGTTGTACATTTTCCAACCAACTACTTTAGTGACTTGATATAATACCATGCAAGGACAGCATCAAGCCTTGGTTTGCAAATATTAGTGCTTCTAACAATAAGGGACCCTCTATGCAAGCAGTGGGTAGGTTTTGCGGGTTGTGTAACTTTTTACCTGTCACACAGGTTTGGGTTTGAAAGATTATTGTAATGTGACCCATGAGGGATATGGAAGGCCAATATGTATCATGAAATACATACATCTGAATGTCCCATGAAAAAATACAAAATCTAACATATATTATGTCCCAATGGGACAAGCATGTCCAGCAGTCATTGGGCGAGAGGCAGGGTATGCAGATAACAATATTTATTTATTAATCTCATTAAATGTCATTTGAAAATGCATTTAGTTAAATATATAATTAATATATAGACTTGAATTTTCATTTGTAAATACATATAGTGAAATAACTATTTATCTATTTTCAGGGGGAATCCAGTCTACGCCTCTGGTGTGAGAAAATTTACTCTGTAAGGATTTTTAATGACACATAATTTTTTCCTGCCTTATAAATGTATAATAGTATGTGTTGGTCTGTCATACAAAATAACAATAAAACATACAGTAATAGTTTAAAAGTGACAAAACATTTACGGTGTACACATATGATTGGAAGGCAATGTATGAAAAAAAGAAAAAAAAACAACCGTAAAATCTGCTATCAGCACTATTTACGCAAAATTAAAGATTTATACATTGATTTCATCTGCACTCTTTACTATGTTAGCTAGCTATAAATAAGGAGACAATAAAGAGCATTTTTTGCTTTAAAAAAAAAATCCCAATAAAGAATAGATCAGCAAAGACTCCACAGCAGAGGGCTGCAAGGAGGAACAATATAACTTGGGAAAAAAAATGGACAGGTTTTAATTAAGATGACTAATTGATTAGCTGGAGAGATCTTGCCCTTCTTAGTCGGGAACGATTCTTCAGGCAGCGATGGCCATAATTAGTCCGCAGCTTAAGCAAATAATATTAAAAAGACAGCTAATACGGCACATAGTTTATTACAGGTGTCCACATTTGACTACTATGTAATAAAAATGCTTCTTCTTGAAACTAAAATCCGAGCTTCACTGAAATGGAAACTAAAGGCTGAGATGTGTACACAGCATTATTTACCACAGTCAATATATGAAAGTAGAATCAGCATAAAATGCAGTTCAGACTGCAGTGTTTTAGGAAAGATAGAGATGGATTTATAAAAAAAAAAAAAAAAAAAAAAACAGAAAAAAAATGATGGTCTTAAACTTACTTTTGACTGTTCCCTTTACAGCATCAACTACAAATGCTATGGAAATGAATAGAGCAATGACTTCTTCTGTTGACCTAAAAGGAAAAATAAACAAAAAACATTGTAAAACTGTTTAAAAAAAGGAAAAAGGATACTTAGATTAGTGTACTTTCTTTAAATAAATAGAAAATCCAAAACCCATAAAAATAATTTTATTTGAATGAAGTACTGATGTTGGATTATTATTTTTTTAATCACAGCGGTTCTGGAGCAACCTATTACCATCCCATCTTTTATTTAATTTTCACCTGAACACAAACCAGTTTGTCGGTAAAATCTTAAAATAATATATTGCAGTACTATCTACCTTTTAAAGTGTTTTAAAAGACTAAAGACAAAATCTAAATTTGAAAATCTATTTACATTTTTAACTCTGGTCCAATAACAAAAAAAAACTGGATATAATTAGTATAACTAGTATTTTTGTTTTCTCTTCGTGTCCTGTCTTTGAACTTCCGGTTTTACCCGATTAAGAAACTAGTTGCTTAAATGCGCCAAGATAGAGCAGAGCTTCGCCTCCTTAACTATGAGCCCTGGCATAAAGTCTACCAAGCACTGACAAGGGAAATTTAACCCCAATTTAACTAGCAGGCATCAAGATAGTCACATCACTGTCAAGTTTATTCTCTGGCAAAAAAAAAGCAAAGACACCTGGAGCCCTGAACTTTCCCCAGCCAGCTGTATTGTGCTTCAAATCCATCTGCTGTGGTTCTGACTCATGTTGACTATACAGTTATACGTACGATGATGTAATAACAAGGATCAATTAATAATAATTAACCTCCTGTTGCTAAATATTTTTTTTTGTTGAATAATCACATTTTTTCACACCAGAAAAAAGAAAATAACTTTAAATTGTAAGGTTACACTTTAATTTGTGTAACAGAGAAAAATACAAACAGAACCAAAACTATATAAGTATGTAATGGCAAAGAAGCAACATAGCCAGCAATATTTAATATTCTGTTTTTGTTGTCATCAATAAAACATTAGAAAAAATAAACAGAAACAAACTTGAAAGGAAAGCCTTTTTTTCAATATAGATTTTCTTTCTCTTTGAATATTGTATAATCTATACTTACTAAGCTATTCTCATTCTACTTTTATAGCACAACCACCTAGAAATTTCAATACATCTTTAAATTGCTGAAAGCTAAATTTTTTATGGCTTGGCTTAAAATTAATACAGTGAAACAAAGAACAAAATAGTAGAGAATATCCTCCATGTTTTTGGTTTTGAGGATGACTAAATAGTTCTCTATGCCATACTTGTGAGATAGAGTCGGGAAACTACAATTAAAAACTTATTTCACAAGTGAAAACCAAGAGAGCTGAGAGGAGAGATTAATTAAACTGGATATTATGAAAATGGTTACAGTAAATTGAGATTAATACAAAGAAAGGTTGATTACGTGGTACCTTTTAAATAGCTTCATGAGCAGACTGACATTAAAGATTCCTCCCAGGATAAGGAAGAGGCAGTTCCACAAACCAATGCAGGCGTAGAAGGCTGGGAAATCCAAGTTGTAGTCATCACAGATTCCTCGGATCACTGTGGTCGAGAAGGCAAAAAATAAGTAATTATTCTTGTCAAACCTTTTTTAAATTGCTTTAATTTTACAATCATGGACTTTAATGTACTTCATATTTGTGTAACAGACCAATCCAAAGCATTGAAATGGAAACATACTTGAACCAGCAGGTGAGCTCCTGCACCCTGCGCCACTGTTACCCCAATGGCAAAGGATGCAGGACAAACTCAGCAAATTTTTCGGTGGAAGATATGTAAAGTTAAATCCTTAAAACCCAAAAAGGTCCTTGTCAAACCTGAAAGTGATTATTAGTGCAGATTTTTGCTTGTTTGAAAGAAAAAGAAACTTTGTTTTGCAATATTTTGGGTCAAAGGGATATTATGAGGAGTGGATGGGGGTAAATCCAGCTGTTCATGATGTAAACTAGCAGCAAATCTTACCAAGGTTTCTTCTCTGTCAGAGGAGGATAAACAGTTGGAGCAAACAAAGTCAGCTTTTAGAATTTATATTTTTTGGTAATTTCATCTTTAATACTTATTTTTGTGGTTGCGCATAGAGATATTTACGTAAAAGACACTAAATGATATTGATCATTTTTAACATCATTGTAACATGGTTGTTAATACTTTATTTTTAACCTTGATCTCTAAGGCTTAGGACTTCATCCTTTGAATTACTTAAAGATTGGGTTATGTTCTAAGAAAAAAACAGTTTACTTCCTTTTACCAAACAGCTTCCACTTATTGGTATTTTATAATGTTTTACTTGGTACTAACATACTGTAGTACTTTAATGATGGTTTATTAACAGGTTAATACACCGTAACTTGCTAATACTTAGTAGGGAAATACAGTAGAATCCGCTAATGTTGGTCCAGAGCAGATTTGAGCACTCTAAGCGGTTGATTACCAACACCGAATTTACCGTTTACTTCTTTTTTATGCAGAATATCATCTAAATACCATTTGTATGGTTTTTCAATGAGAAAAATTACAGTTATTATTTTGCCTTGCAAGTTTAATTACAGTTTACTGCGCTGTGCAAAGACATAGCTCTGGTAGCCTATGTAACTAATTCTGTGTGTCGGCTCTGCTGTGCCGCTAGTGCATTTTTTTGACATGTCTGAAAATAAAGTTTGAAAAAATCAGTTTCATAGAACAACAACATAGAAGATAACTGCATAGGCTACAGAAAATTAAAGCTAGCCAACCTCTGTTTTGTGTTGCGGATCTGCTGCGCCTCATTAAGAAATAACTTCACATATTTATCCATGGTTCCCTGGATCAGAGTGTTGGCCAACATGAGTTCACTTCTTTTTCAAAACGATGTTAAAGGTCAAAGGTTTTGAACCCAACATGAAGGAGACCGGTCTTTAAAATGCAAACTGCATTCCTCATTTCAGCTCTGGAAGGGACAACGCGCTCTTGTACATTTCAGATGTACACGTAACTTAAAAATTATTTTTGCACACGTTTACATTCATGAAATTTCCAAAAAGGAAAAGTATAAGTGGATTTCTTTATTGCTATAAAAAAATTATTTAAACAGCATTTGTATAGAAGTGATTCTGTCCCAAGCATTTTGATCTATATAAGTGGTTGATTACTATATCCGTGACCACTATAAGCGGATTCCACTGCACTCAGTAACTAGATGTAACAATAAAGTAATAACAGACTTTAATCTACTCTGTACTTACTGCATAATTACATAGGGATTTGTTCATTGCTTGTTAATTAGGCTCATATTTTTAAGTCTTCAATATTTATCTCAAATGTAAAACGTCATAAAAACAAGTAGAGGCCATTAACTGAAAAAGGTGCATCTACACTTAACTGGTATTACATCTTTATGACAACGATCACAGAAGCTTTTTCTAGACTCTAGACTCTAGAGTCTATTGGAAGCCTTTTTATTGATTTTAGAATCTTATGCCAAAGAGTTAAAGGGAAACAAGCATTTTAATCTACCTTAAAAGGAAAAAAAAAAGAAAAAAAGAACTGTAATTAGTTTGTTAAAAACCATAATAATTTTGTTGTTATCTTGAGTTACAACTTTACAAACAAGCCTTTGTTCTCTTCAAAAAGCTGCTGGAAATCTACAACAATTATCCCCAAGAGAATGTTCCCTGCGCAGTTCCAACCCATTTACTTCAAAGATCATCTCACCACAAACCCAGCAAACAGCTTTGGTATTAAAACTGCATCTTGGCATCAAAGTCACTGCTTTTCTACATTTCTGTTCTCTTTTGGACTTTCCACCATTCAAGTTCATTTACACTCCTACCAACAAAACAATTCTGTTGGGCAAAAACCTACGGTTTATATGCTGCATTTGTCTGAGTTGAATAAAAGCTGTACTTGTTAATGCAGTTAGGAAATCTGCAGACCCGCAGGCTCCTGAAACCAGGAGTTACATAACACCGGCATAAAAAATATTAATGTTCTAGTCCGTTTGCTCCTTCTCAGATTACTTTTCCATATATACCTATGATTTTTAAAATCCTCATTAAATATATTTCCTATATTTGTATTAAGACAATCCAGATTTCAACAAAAAATCCCAAGTTATTTGCATAAAGAAAATTAGACCAAAACAAAAAATAGATAACTCAAATGACACTCGGCAAATCAAATAATCATGCGAATAAGTTCTAAGTAATCAGCACTCGAAAAAAAAGTTTAACAGAGATTAGAAACTAATAAATAAGAGGAAACATGTCAGCAACAGCCTAGAGAACATTTGCTATGTAATGTATGCTGAAGGCTGTTTGAAGGGATGCAATGCCCAAAAATTTAATAAAATATGCATCTTTTATGTAATAATCCCGCAATCGTTATGCATTTCCCACAAATGTAATAGCTGTTGCCCACTACAAATGTTATAAGCTATTTCCCACAAAAGCTGTGGTAAAGTTTATAACTTCTACAAATGTAATAATGTAGCAAATAACTGTTGTTTTCTATTTGTTATTTGATTGATGTTGCCTAGTGATGCCTCCCCCCCTTCCTTCTCAGCGCACAAAACAATGCTGTGAAAAAATTAAATCCAACATTTCATAATATAACATTTTCTCTAGGCCTACCGCTTTGAGTCGCGTTGTCTGTGTTCATGTATTCCTTCTTCAATTTAAAAACCACAATAAGAAAATAAAGTGTCCCCCAAAATTACTTGATATGCCTAGAGAAAAAAGGAGAACAGTTCCTTTTATATTTTATATTGCCATACATAACTGAATAGATTTTGAAAAACCTGAATTAGAGATTAAATTAATTTTAATTTTATATAGTTTTGGGCTCTTCTAGAATCTCAGCCTGCTGCGTAAGCAGTGGTTATTTAATAAACAAGATCAGCTCTTCTGGTACGAGCTACTCTTCTATCTCAGTTTAAAAAATCGGATTTAAAATAAAAACATTTACAAGGTTAAGAGTTGCATTTTGATGTATAGCCTATGGTAAAAAAAAAGAAAAATGTCAGTGTCCTTTAAAAAAGTTCTGTGAATGTCCTGTTTGGTGCATCAAAGAGCGCTGAATATGCATAAATAAAAAATCCAGCAGGAATAATTTGATGGCCTTATTTTTCTTTTTTCAGTTTAGGCTTCCAGAGCAATAAAACTCACTGGTATGTCACAGCCCTGTTATCCCACATTTACACGGCTCTGTTCATAGCGCAGCGCAATCTGAAGTTCTTTGCGCCAATGAAACAGATTCAACAGTAGTATCAGTATGCAACAACAATCAAATAAACACAACTTTCCCACAGAAGTAATAAACCTATGCAAACGTAATAGTTATTATATTTGGCCCTACTAATATCACCTATTATGTTTGTAGTAGGTAATGGCTATAACAGTTGTGGGAAATGTATTATGTTTGCAGGAATATTAAGTTAAATTTAGATAACATTTTTGTCATATTTGTGTTAATTACATTTATATAAATATATAATTACATAATATATTTTCAATGTAAATACAGTAAAAATACTCTAAGCTGAATAGTTTTGATGAATTTAGATTTTTCTTTAAATTACACAACCTTTGCTATGTTGTTTAAGCTGCAATGCAATCTTGGTAAATGACATATTCAAGGTCATCATAAAAACAGGTATGAGTGTGATGAAATTAATGAAAACCACAAGGTAATGAAGATGAGAAGAACCAAACAGAGGTAGAGGAGAGAGTTGGCCAAATAAGCTGGTGTTTGTGCGTTTGCTGCTAACCCAGAGCCCACGAAGAACTCCATTTCTAACTGAGGCTGTTTGCATCACCATCAAAAGATTTCCGCAGATATATTAAGAACGATGTGTTACACCAACTGAGAGATACTTCTCTGTCAATTTAAAGTGTTGTTCTTTATCTTCCGATTTGATTTCAAATTAGCATCTGCAAATGCTTTTAGCTCTAGCTAATATAGTAAGTAGACCAGAAGCTAACCACATTTGTTTGTTTCAACAGATATCTGATGCTCATAAAAACTTGGAGGCAATGATGCTGTGTAGCATTGTCTAAATTTACACCAGTCAAACACAGTAAGAAAAATAAAACACTAGTGAAACACGCATCCTTCCTGTATTTACTCTGTAGGTTTCAGTCCAGTAAGGCCAGTACAGTACTGGCCAGTATCACAAAGTAATTCAAGGTATGGTGGAGGATTTTTGTGCATTTTTGAAAAGACCAGCCCTCTCCAACTAAAAAAAAGAACAAAAGAAAAAAAAAAACATGCACATGCACAACCCTGTATCCTCTCCCGAGAGGGNAGACCAGCCCTCTCCAACTAAAAAAAAGAACAAAAAAAAAAAAAAAACATGCACATGCACAACCCTGTATCCTCTCCCGAGAGGGATGCCTATTAAACACGCTCAAGAGCATGAACAATCCCATTTCTCCTTGGGCACGCTCTGTTTAAAAGCTGCTGTTTGCGTCACTCATACGAGCTTACTTTGCAAAAGAACATTTGCAATTTTTCCACTATGCCAGACTCACCACTGGTAAGTAAAAATAGGGACGAGCACATGGAGG